CGAAAAACAGGGACCACAGTTTGACGAACTTTGTTATTTACGCTTTCGTAACATCGTAACGTTCTATACTTAAATCCGAGTTAATATTTGACTATTTATTTTTCAGTATTAACTTTAAATTCACAAACATATGTTTTATATAACTAATATTTTTAATCTTGTATTATTTAATAACGGTATTGAATATATTACAGTATATTCTCGTTAATTCGAATTCAGAGTTAAAGTAACTTTCTACAAAAGATCTACTGCTTTATAAGTGTGTTAAAAATTTTAACTGTTAGAAAACAAATTCATTGTTTATAGACTGAAGAGAATTCCGATCCAAAATGCATTTAAATAAAATAGTTGAAAAATAATCGTCGTCTTAGTAATTCTTGAACTCGGGTGAAAATTGGAATCGAACGACAAAACATTTTGGTTTATTATTTAATTATATTCTCCAAAAGTGCGATCAAGCCGCAATGGAAAAATTCGACTCACTTTTGAAAAATCAATTGTTCCGTCCATATGGTCAAATGAACAAACAGATTCAATTATAGGTCAAACACTCAATTCCTCCCGCTGTCACAAGACAATGCTTATTTTTTAGTAGTACTGTACATACTTTCCTCAGTTTATAGTTTCTGATTAGTAAATTGACATTCATCTATGGAATAATTTTATTTAAATTAAAATTTTAAACAAAGTACGTAGAACAATTCTTTATTAACAACAGATTTTAATAATCAAAATTTCCATTCGCCTGTGCAACTGTAATAAACATTTCTACGAAGTCTGGAACACCTGCAGACTACTAAATATAGAATTCATTTAATAATTTGAGAAAATACNCGTAAAAGTTTTAATTTTAAAACCTGCGGATAGGGACAATATAGAGTTGTACAACAAGAGACACACTAAAGAAAGAAAGAAAAAAAAAACAAAAATAAATAAGATAAATCTTGTAAAACACTGAATTAACCTACAATTTGAAATTTTAAAATAAAAAGAAAACAGAAAATTAAACATCGGCAGTGAAAAAAAGAATACGGTAATTGTACTTTTTAAATTTACTATAAAAATGTGTTTCAATCTATCTGATCATGCTTCAATTGTTAAATATTTTATGTTAAAGTAGATATGTAGAGAGAGACAAAAAGTGCCGGAGTGGGTAATGATTTTATGGGCTATTTAAATAATTACGGTTAAAGCTTAACTTTCATGTCAGAGACATTGTGATTAAAGAATGAATGAAACAGAATTTGCAAAACTACTTTCCTTAGAGTTCATTTGTCTTATTTACAAGTAATCAAGTAATGTCTGTGGCGTCTGAAAGTGCGATCACGCTGCAATTCAAGAACTCGACTTACTTTTAAAAATCAATTATCCCTCCCAGATCTGCGTTATATGTAAGAGGCCATATTATCTCTCCACATTACTCTAGAAAGCTGCAGTTTTTTTATATGAAATAACATACATATGTCTAAGTAATATACATAGCAAATTAATTAATGTTTAATAATGCTATTATTTTTTGGTCTTTTTAAAATATAAAATTTAATAAAATGTTTTAACTTTGACATTTTAAATTAAAGATTCGTAAACTGAACAAAATTTGCGATATAAAGTAAAAACAAATCGAATGTAGCACGATTTTTAAGCGATATTTTCTGTCTATAATCGATCTGTTCTTTATATTTTTTTATTACAAACATGCCAGTTTTTACGAAAGTTATATTTTAAAATTTCACATAGAATCGGATATCTGGTGTCAAAATACCTGCGAATCATATGCCACATGCAGTAACAACCACAGCATGTGGTCAGGTTCCGTTAATAGGTCACACACGCATTACCCCTTCCCATCACAAACAAGATAATGCTTCTTTTTCAGTAGTACAGTTTATATAAACTTTCCGATTAGTTGATTGCATAGATAAATGTTAATTATTTTATTTAAATTAAAATTTTAAACAAANTATTTCAAGTAAAAAGTGTTCAATGTTTTAACCAAATTTTTAAAAATTACTTTAAAAGGAAAAACTTTTACGAAATTTTGAATCATGTAATCAATAACTACAGTCATTTATTATAAGTTTTTTTTTAGTGTTTCAATAAATGTTAATTAAAAACAAATTTTTTTCGTGTAAAGATAAAAAAATTAACACAAATTATTCTGCAATTTGTTCTTATTCCAGAAACTGGAATGGAATATATAAAACTAACAATATTTACTATCTTTAATAATGTATTACAATCAGTACTTTTGTAGTAATTTATATTGGAAAAATATCATCCATAACATATATATAACTCTAAAATTTTTACATTTACAGAAATAATTATTATTATTTCTGTAACTTGAAATTCCCCATCAAGCATGATGGAATACTTTTTATGAGAAAGTAGAGATTTCAAGAAATTCAAGATGATATTTTCAAGTCTAAAAATATTAGCAACTGAAATCCATTAAGTAGTATATACTATCTGTTATAACATAACGAACAACGAAACAAAATTTCATCTTGAGTGGACAAAAATAATAGGAGTTATAGATAGAAAATTCACTTGCATACATGTAAACAGATTTGGGCTAATGTATTAAATATTAAAATTTTTCTTTATAAAATTTCTTTATACACTACATTTTGAGTAAACACACTATAGAAAGACAGCCCTTGGATTCTCTCAACTTTTAATGAAAAGACGTGTTTTAGAAACTCTTCTTTATTTCCTCTCGTTTCCCATGGAGATAAAACCAGGGAAAATGTTGAATGTTGACTTGAATGTCAACAGTAGACTATTTGAAGCAACAAGTCCTTTCCTCTCGCATCAACCCACGAAAATAATGAAAATTTCTTAATTAAGTGTGAGAAAATTGACACTTATCACAACAATTTTCTCACACAATTGATTATTTTAACTTAGGCCATGGGGGTAATCTAAAAATCGAAGGAAATACTAAACCTCTGAATTGACTTTAATTTTCATCATCCAGCTATGACACCTTTGACGTGTCATCACTGCCAAACAAACGATCACCTGAACAAATTCCTATATCAGATGGGGATATAATGGCCAGGCACCCATTCATGAGGGTGATCATTCTAAAAGAAGCTAACTTTTTATTTTGTGTTGTACCCTCCAACACGAGCAAGTTCCTATGTATTTATTTGTAATGTTGTGAAGAGAGTATGTGTTGTCCCAAGCATATATCCAGTCCTCTCTGGATAATTATCCTGAGAAGTTACGTCCCCTGCTGCCCAGAGGTATGATAAATGACCGATCCTATGTATGCTCTCTCTCTCGGTCAAAAATAGTTATTGATAGGAATAACTGTAGCTTGATAGGGATAACGCACTCTAAATATTTGTACTAGATTAGGCACGAGGAATACAGTTTCCCCAGATTTGTATTTGTAACCTTTTAGCTTTATTAAATTTTTTGAATTTTTATCAATGGTTGATCTTTCTCTAGTATTGCAGGCGTCTTATCAACAACCTCACTAACCCTCCCACTCACAGCAAAAATTAACATAAGAACATCATCCAGTGTCACCGTGAGCGGATCTCACCAATCAAAGGGGTTTAGAGCTTGACTGTCTACCCTGGCTTCTCACAACTCTATTGTCTTTTAAAAGATTTCCTTGCCATCTTCCTTTATTAATAGACACCTTAATATTGTTTTCATGATTGATGTAATGTTGTTTCTGCAGCCATTGACAAAGCCATTCTTACTTGATGTTGTTCAAGTCAGAGTTTTAAAGAGCCTCTGTTGTTCTTATTCTTTCAGATCTAGAATTCACCTGACCAATTTTACTCTTACACTTCCCCTGGGCTTTTTGCTATTACATTAGTTATTTAGAAACTGTTATCGCTTATCTAACAGGCTTGTTAGACATTACTTCTGATTAAATAATAGAACATCACATGGTCATGATGGAAAGATTTTTTAAAAAATTTGTTATAGAAGTGACATGATATATCTATCTTTTTTAAAGTTTAAATTTAATGAAGTAAGTTTAAAATAGGCCACTGCCAAAATATTTAAAAATGCAACTTAAGGGAAATTTCCTCATTAAGCATGAACTAATTGAGGTCACTGATATCACTGCAATAAAAGTGTTATCACCAATCCAAAATTGATAAAACTATAGCCTTTACTTTTCATCAGAACATAAAATGAATATAACCAAAATTTCATCTGGATTGGACAAAAATTGCAGGAGTTATAAGGAATTCACACACACACAGAGAGAGAAAGACAATGGCTTTTATATTGTAATAATTTCCAAAAAATTTCAAATGTAATAAAAGTTTGGACTGACTTTTGCATCAAAACTAAATTATAAATTAATAATTAACTGATAATATAAAATACTAGCTGTTACCCATGACTTCGTCTGCAGAGGTTTTGCAAGCAAACCCCATTTACATTCAATATTTCAATAACCATAGTAACTGTTATATAACACCTACTGCTGAAGAGAATTGCCGAGAATCAAACGAACTATTTTCAATTTGATCAATTTTCTGGAATGTTTACAATCGTTCTATAATCAAACCAATATGCAATAACAAATTCAAATTTAAAACGGTTTGAACATTTTTAAAATCGAAATAGATAAAAATATTTATAACAATGTCTGAAATGTTATTAATTTAATACACCTAAGTACTCTAAGACTATATCCTCACCCTCTCCCCGAGGGGGAATTTCGAAAAATCCCTTCTTAGTGTGCATTCTCATGGCATACCCTATTACAACGCAGATAATAACAAAAAAATCGCATCTAAAATAGTACAGTAGAATCCGTTCTTCCGGCTAAACCTTAATGCTCTCCCTCACCCCCCGCGGGGGAATTTCTAAAAATCCCTTCTTAGTGTGTGTTTTCATGACGTACCCTAACTGTGTACCAAATTTCACCTCTTTAGGTCCAGTGGTTTGCTCTGGGCAATGATGAATCAGTGCGTCATTTAGTCAGTCAGTCAGTCAGGACAAGCAATTTTATATATATAGATTTCCAGATATTTAACAAAATTTTAAACTAATAGATATTATTTTTGAAACAGTAACTGTTTTAATTAACAAATTAATTTTATACAACAGTTTAATTCAATTGCTTTACAAATATTCAACTACTTAGTTTTTCCAAGGGAAACAAATGTTTCTTCATATGGATGCTGTCTAAACAGAACTGACACTTCCCAAGGGCCGAAGATGTTCTCATCTGTTCTGTAAATAATTAAAAATTATATTATTTTAAATATATGACTTCATACAAAAATGTTATTAAAAAAACAAAAATAAAAGAAATGTGATATAAATTCCAGCAATAAACTTATTGTATTAAACATACAAAAAAAAACTATTCTGATTTTATGTACAACACAATTTTTGATGCTATACATTAGTAGTTCTCAACCCTTCTGAGGTTGCGGAACACCATTCAGATACTTTTTTTTTAGCATCAATGTGTTCAAAAATCGACAAACAATTCAGTGTTTACTATTCTCATGAAGCAATAAACTTATAAACTTTATTGTCTGGTGTAAAATAGTAAACGTGAAATTGTCTGTCAATAAATTAATCTGTTGTAGTACATTTGAATAAATTTGCAATAAAAACTTTGAATTAAAACAATTGAAAAGATATAAAGAACATTTAATGAATATTTATTATAATTTTTATTTGTTTGTGGCAATTCAACACGAGATCTGCCAAGGGGAATGCCTTCCAGGAGGATTTTCTGTGGGAAACTGATCCTTATGTGAGATCGAGAGCCTGATTTTTCTCTAATTTAAGGAATGTTAACCCTTTTCTCCATCACAATCATTAAGAAAATATCACACAGAAAAAGGATTGAATGTCACCCTTCTCATCAACAACTGTTAAGAAATTATAACAATCTATTGTTAAAAGATGAGAATATCAACATTTGACCAAATAAACAGGATGAATCTAATATTACACTATCTGCTCCGTTCAGACGACATCTTATTGTCTTCCCGGGTCACCTATGATCCAACCCCTCCAAAACCAACCTTCGTCTCCAAAACATTTGATCACCTGATCATTCTCCCAGGCCAAAAGAGAATATAAGGACAACACATCCCAATTTCAGGATGATCATCCATTGGGAACAACCTCTCCCTAATCAGACTGTCCCGAGAAGATCACCATTCACCAAACCTTGATCACAAAAACGGGAAAGAGGTAGGATGCTTCACCTACTTTTGTAAACTCTCTCTTGGCTCCATAATAGCTTATTCTATCTACTAAAATTCACCAATAACATATCTCCTTTATACGTGACTCATTAATTGCTATTATAACCGAACTCCTGTAATCTTAGTTTAGATTTTAGTTATTCATTAACATTTTATTCTTATTAAGTTTGTTAATGGTGTATGTTATTCGTAGATAGCATATGGCCAGGAAGTGAAAAGATTATGAAAAAGCATCACTTTCGGCATGAAGAACATATAAGGAGAAATGTTTTCAAGTAAAAGTTAACAGTTATCAAATGACAATCAATTATATATATGACAAAATTGTATAAATTTGACAACTAAAATTGAGAACTTAAATGATTTTTTTGAAATAACTTTATTTGAATATAAATTCTTAAAATTTTACCTCAACTTGATATTTATTGTGATTCTTCATCCATTTTGGTGCAACTTTAGTAAATTTTGGTTCACTAGTTGACGTAAAATTATGATTATAACTGTCTACACTTCCATCAATTTTCTTAAATTGCTTTTTATAACTTTTGTACGCATCACTTTTATTTTTCTTAAACTGACCAAATATCGTGTTCCGACTTCTATCTCTAAATGATTCTCTTCTATATTCTCTTTTCTTCTTAGTTTGCCTTGTATCAAATCTATTTTCTCTTGCTTTGTTTTCAGCCTCAGCAAGTAATTTTTCTAGCTTTTCTAATGACTAAAAAACAATATTATAAAAACTACAATTAATTAAAGTTAACGTAGCCTATATGGGAAAGTTGGAATTTAATTTCAAATCATTTATATCATTATTCAAGTATGATAACTGAAAAAATTGTAAGACATGATATATAAATATGAAATTGAATTAGTCATTTTTTCACTATCAATAATCAGTCACTAGTACAAGTCGACCCCCCTATAACACTGTTGATTATTCTGTTTTATATGAGTTCCATGTTGTACGAGTCACTTAGATTTTACAAATACGTGAGCCGGGCTGTGAACAGCTCATGTATTTCTAAAATCTAAGTGACTCGTACAACATGGAATTCATATAAAACGGAATAATCAACAGTGTTATAGGGGGTCGACTGTACTTTGAGTTACATTCCTACCTCGTACATCAACAATGACGTCAAGAACTAAATCTTCATTCTCTGACAAGACAGCTGGAAACATTACAACACTGTTAGGCTCACCTACACTTTCATCCCCAAGATTGACACTACTGTGATTCTTTGCATTTTACTGTGATTCTTTGCACTTTTACCTTAGTTACACCCTCACTTAGCTACTTACAGGACACGGCAACTTTAAGCAATACTTCCATAGATTGAACCTTGGGGACAATCCACAATGCGATTGTGTTATTCAGGAGGACCAAACACCACTTCACTTAGTTTTTCGCTGCAATACGTACAATCACATTAGGGATAGTTTAATGAGAGCTACTATTCTTGAAGGATACAATTGGCCTTGCAACCTGCACCAACTCATTCACATGCGTATAATGCACCATTATCTCCTCGCATTCATATCCCTTAGTGGGGCTCTTGAGAGCACTCACTCTGTAGGCACGGGTAGCAATCAGCTTTCCCTTGCTTTGTTTCAACTGTCAGTATATAGCTGCCTTTCAACTTTGTATTTTAATTCTTATTTCCATCTTCTTTTTCAGACTAAATTTGGTTAGTTTAAGTTAGTCCTAGTAGTAAGTTAGATTAGGGACTTGGTTTCCGGATAGGTTAGGTTAAATTAGATTAAGGTTGTTATCTTTAGTCATCTGGTTAGCTTCGTCCTAGGTTATGGTAGGTTAGTTTAGTTAGTGAATAAGTTAATGTCTAAAAAAAATTGGGGTCTTGCTCGTTCGTCTTGTCTAGTTTGCCACTGTGTTCGTTTGTTTTCACACTGTCTGTCTAGCTGCTAATAGTATTAAGATTTGCACTTGTGTTCAGTTTTATTAGTATTAAGTAGATATAAGTCTTCCTACTAACAACCACTTGGCACTAACTTCTACACTTAGCTATACATGGCAGCACTCAATTATTGGTGTTCGCTACACTCATGTTTTCTTTTTAACCCTTTGGGGAACTACGGCAATGCAGCCTAAAGACTGCATGCCAACATCAAACAAAGAGGGTACAGTAGCCATACGTATGCAATTCAGGGGGGACCCTACCTTTCTCTACAGTCTAACTCCTCTTTCTCCCCCTTTCTCTTATCCTATTTTCCACCAGCTAAACACCTTGTATACAGCCAATGTCTTTCATGTATATATGAATAATCAGTACACATGCCAATCTGTTCCTTGTCACATTCAACAAGCAATTATTTATTGTGATATCATCACAATGCCAGGTTGCAATTTTTAATCATATTTTTAATTTATTTAATTTAAAATATATGCTCTCCATCTCAAATTCGTAGTGTCCTGCCCCTGTACAACATATTTTTCCTTTAACAATAGAGTTGTGCCGATCATCTAACTAACACCTTTTGAGGAAGAATTTTTGAATCAAATTAACATGACTTCCAGTTTGCATTGGAAGTTCGTATATAGTTAATCGGGTCCTCCTGCCCCTAAGGTTTCCATATCTGTTCTTGAATTATATCTATCTAACTTTGTTCTTGAGATTAAGGAAGGATAGACACCAGATGTACGACAGTGGGCATTTATAAGTTTACAATTTTTTCAAATTGCAGTTCAACAATGTATTAGTTTGTATATGTTTTCATTATAGACGTTTTAAAAACTTGAAATTTTAAATATAAAAATATATAAATAATAATAGTTTAAAAACTATTTCAGTGGGGTCAGAAATTGAATTAGTTTAAAAATATAAAATACAAGAAAAACTCATCCTGTTCAGACTTTAGAGGTGATTAAATACATTCAAACAACACTTAAATCAAGAAAGGATAGTATTTTAATAGTATTACTATTAAAATAAAAATTAAATAACATTTTTCAATAATAAATAAAAAACATATAAATAATAGTATTTAAATAATGGCATTAATGTTGATGCATGTTGCAATAGATTTGTAAACTATAAATACACTGCACGTGAATTGAATTGTATTATTGCGGCCGAGATTGAAGTGTCGTCACTTTGGCAAATTGCATTTGATAGATAACTTATAATTACACTTAAACTCAATTATAATGAGCATTAAGGGACCAGCAAGATTTCCTCTTTATAAACATTACTCATTATATCCATGAAGAACAGTGATGTAACTAGGGGGAGAATGGGTGGCTGCTTTGGGTAAAAATATGTAGAGTGCATCCTGCAAGCAANATAAAGCAATTATCAATTTTAAAATTTGTAGATAAAAAGACTAATTAATAATATGCCTGATTTCAGTTAGTATTATCTTTAATTACAAAAAAGCAAATTGTCTTTAATGTTAATTATATTGTAGTGTATAATGTATTTTTATTAATACAGTAGAGTTTAAGATTTGTACATAAATATACGATAATACTAATTAATAATATGCCTGATTTCAGTTAGTCTTTTTTTTATCTTCAAATCTTAAAATTGATGATTGCTTTATTTTTCGATAATGTCGATACTGTAGAAGATGACAAAGAAAACTACAACTTTCTACACACTGACGTTTTTAGTACCATGTTATAACTCACAACTAATTTCTACTTTTTCGTAAACTGAGGGGCATTTCCTTTTCTTAATAAACATCTTTCTCATTCTAACTAGAGTTTATGGTAATTTTACTGTCATAGTGACAATTAGGTAAATTGGCAGAGTAGGACCAGAAGTTAATCAAGAAAAAAGAGGATGGTCTCCAAAAAGAAAGGTTAGTAATAAATAGGACTGTAATCAATGCATGTCATAAAACTAAGCAACCCTTTCAATTTAATCTTTTCTAAGAATTTGGTATCTCATTTCTTATTACTTGAACAATTAAGAATGTTCATGTGTTTGCATAACTACCAAAAATTAGCATGGTATATCTGTGAAGCACCCTCATTACAACCGTGAAAAAATGCATGCAAATACGTGTAAAATTGTTATGGCGCTTTTCTCGTTATAACCGTGAACTCGTTATATCCATGTTTGTTATAACTGAATTCAACTGTATATGATGAAGTGCAAGTTTAAATAATCCTTTCTTGATTTAAGTGTTTGAATGTTTTTAATCACCTTTAAAATCAGAACAGGGTGAGAGTTTTCTCATGTATTTCATATTGTTAAGTTAATAAAAATATATAATTTACATATAAATATATTATTGTGAGTTTCCTATATATATATATAGGCACTGTATTTAATATAAGTATTGTAACAAAGTTACAAATCTGTCAATTTATTTATTATAAAATAAAGCGACATTAAANAAAAATATATAATTCATATTTCATATATAAATATATTACTGTGAGTTTATATATATATTTAGAGGCACTGTATTTAATATAAATACTGTAACAAAATTACAACTCTGTCAATTTATTTATTATAAAATATAAAATAAAGTGACATATTTTAAAAAATTTCATTAACTGTTTTAATATGTATATTTTAAAAAATAAAAATTATTATTTATAATTTAAAAATACATATCCTTAATTACCCCCCATCTTTCAGCAGCAACTTCTTCCATACTTCTATTTTCTTCTTCAGCCTGTTCTTTGATCCTTTTATAAGCTCTTCTTAACCAATTTAATCCTGCATCTCCAACAGTTTTTTCAGGCAAGACTCTTTCATTTGTACTTTCGTAAGAAGATTCAGAAGGAAGCCCAATTCCTCCATCTTTCCAATATGGATTTAATTCCCTTTCGTGTTGTCCTGGCTATAAAATAAAAAATATTCTTATTAAAATACAAAATTTTCCAGGACAGACTTTCTTCTTATATTTCTGAGAGCAAAAAAACTTATTTTTGTAGAACAGATGTTCTGAATTTAAGAAATTAATATTACAGCAATTTTGTTTTATTATGTAAATTAAAATTGAAAAATTTTCAGATATATTTTATAATAAAAATAAAATAAATTCTCAAAATTAAAATGATTTCATTATATAACATTCCTTTGAACATCATAAATAATTCTTAATTCATCCTGGAACTATATTGACTATCATGAGCAATATGTAAGTCCCATAATCATAAAAAAAAATATAAACAATAAAAACATTAATCTAAACAATAACAATAAAATTGAACTAATTAATACCATTGAAAATATACTAAACAAGTAAAACGGCGAAGCCATTTTTGGGATGAGACTATGTTTCGGAGAGCGTGAGCAATGCATGTGCAAATCTCGCACTCGTACCTTTTTGTAGAAACAGTCTCAGAATTTCATATTTTCTTTTGACCCAGTTCTCGGTCCCCTGACTACCTACAAGTCTGGTTTATTTTGTGTGTGCACCAAATACTCTGTGCCAAATTGCAACTCCTGACATGTAGTGAATTATTAATGACATCACATTATGAACAAAGCAAATTTAAGAAAATAGTTCTTTTTTTTTTTTAATAAAGTAAAAATTGCATTAAAGATACTAGACATATCTTCATATCTCTAAAGGTGTGCAGCCGTTGACGGCAGCGTGATTTTAGAGACGAGACATAGTCGTGTCTAAAAGAATATTTTTAATAGTGTTTCTGATTTATTTTAGATTATATTGAAATGCAACAATGTTAAATAAAGTATAAATGGAAACTTTATTTACTTTAGCATACATTCTCAAAATTAAAACCAATTATCCATCAATTCAATTTGCTTAACAATTAAGATAAGATATTTTTAATATCTGTATTAAAAAAGATAACAATTACAAACCCACGATGGATCTTGCTTTATATACCCCAATCAATGGGTAGTCCCACCCATACAAAAAGGCTTTGAATGGTCCACAATGTTCCAGAACATTCCACAACATTCGAGAGTGTTCTGGAATGTTCCACAATGACCTGGAATGTTCTTGAACGTTCCAGAACATTCTGGAATGCTGTGGAATGCTCTCGAATGTTCTGGACTGTTCTAGAAATTTCTAGAGGGCAAAACTTCCAGCCCTTATATTTTGAACAGCATGCCCTTCAGGTAAAAATGGGAACCTTCTTCATGGATGGGGGTAGAGGGCTACCACACCAAATAACTCCCTTGATCGTACTGGGACTCATTTTTGAGTTTTAGTGGCACACACATTGTACACTTACCTTTATAATATATATTGATGATTGATGATTATAACACACCTTTTTTTGTTGCTGAGATAGGTTGAAGATGTTAGTTTTAAAGAAAACTATTCTATAGGTCATCTTCAGGTTGAAATGGATTGGAACATGTGTTCCATAAGATGGAATACATACATTTAAATTCAAAAAATTGACAACAGAATAAAAAACAAACTCAGATATATTAATAAAAATAATGTTCCAGTAATATTACTTTGAACATTAAATAAATTATTAAGGTATAATTGATATAATGTGCGACTATAAACTAATGTATAAATTATGAGTTCATGGCAAACTTTTTGACTATAAACTTCCAAGCCAATGGTAGGAATTCTGCATCCCCTTGCATTTATGAATGCCTCTTCCAGTTTGCTCTTGTATATTTCAATTTTTTTGGCAGTCCTTGCTAATGTCGCCAAGTAATTGATAATGGACTCCAAAGAATCGCTCGGCATTGATAAAAATTAATAATTTCAAAAAATTTCCAAATCCCGAATATACAATTATTCACACTTACAAACTAGGATATACAAATTTGACTGGGAACGGTCGTCACGATACAACAGGTGGCTCCCACGTACCGACAGACAAAAGAAACTTATTCTAGCTTAGGATTAACTTAATTAAATAATACAAATATAGGGCCCAAAATTTAGAGAAAAATATAAGAGTAGCAGAATTATACAGAATGAAAGGTTCAAAGGGGTGACTGGTAATAGTAATCAAAAAAATCTCGGATCCATCCCTTAGTAATTTTCTTCTTTACGTGCTTGTCCTCACGTGTCCTCCATCCCCTAAAGTGTCCTTTCTTCCGGTTCAAATCTCTCTCCCGTCCACCACCAATCACCCCCCGACCAATGAAGTGTTGGCCCCTTTGTTTTAAGACAGATCAGACTACATGGGTTAACCAACCACATCGTGGTTAAGGAAATAAAAGCCAGAAGTACAATTTTTCCGTAAAAAAATGGTAACAGAGAATTAAAGGAAAAATATAAGTAACATGGCTTAATAAAGTCACACTAATGTTGGGGAGCACAAGGGTTTGACAATGTCCGCTTCATCCCATTTTACTATCGAGCCTTGAGTCTGCACCATCTGGGAAAGTACTATTGTGTTGGAACCTTTTCTGATGTTATATTTGTGTTCTTTGAGTCTTACTCCCAAATTCCTTGTTGTGACGCCGATATATTCTTTCTTGATTCCTAGCTGTACATTTTCGTAAGAAATCTTGTACACCCCTGCTTTTTCTTCTTTCTTGATGTCATATCCTTCCATAAAAATAAAATCTTGCATGGAAACACTATTGGAATTCATGTTCAGCACAAACCCCAAATTGATTCGTTACAACAACGAGGTAGTAGAGCTGGCTAACCTGATTTGCTACAAATTTTGTTTTTGCTTTAACGGCCAGACATACAGACAAAAATGGGGAGTTCCAATGGAACGTCCAATCTCAGGAATACTATGTGAGTTGGTCATTAGAAAACTGGAGAAAAGAGTTTGTGATTTCAGAAAAGATATTGTATACTTTAAAAGATATGTGGATGATATCTTTATCTTATGGAAGAATAACTGTAAGATAAATGAATTTGTTCATAGGATCAATGCTAACAACAATAGCCTAAAATTGAGAATGGAACAAAAAGTTATTTAACAGTACATTTTTTAGACATTAACATCCATATTATCTGCCTCATGGTTGTGGATAATTTAATTAATATAATTAACATCCAGTTTAAAAAAAAGGGCAGTTATCCACCAGTGTTTACATCCAGCCCGCTTTACATCCCCTCGCAATCAAATGATCCATATCATTATAAGCTGGGAGTATTCCGAGCTCTAATCAGAAGGACCTTTCTATATTGTGACAACGTTGTGGACAGAGCAAACGAAATCAACAGAACTGTACAAGTAGCCGAAGCCCTAGGATACAAAAAAGGCACAACAACAGGAATAGCTAAAAGATACGAGAGGAGCAAAGCAAGGGTCTCAAAGACATGATCCTAGTAAAATCACAAAGTTTACATACAACAGAAGTACGAAAGGCATTATTAAAGAAATTGCAGACCACAAGGAGTCAAGAATGATTCTGAAAAGAGATCTGAACCTATATAAAATTTTAAGAAATGACAAAGATAACATCAAGAAAGAAGAAAAAGCAGGGGTGTACAAGATTCCTTACGAAAACATACAGCTAGGAATCAAGAAAGAATATATTGGCGTCACAACAAGGAATTTGGGAGTAAGACTCAAAGAACACAAATATAACATCAGAAAAGGTTCCAACACAATAGTACTTTCCCAGATGGTGCAGACTCAAGGCTCGATAGTAAAATGGAATGAAACGGACATTGTCAAACCCTTGTGCTCCCCAACATTAGCAAGGACTGCCAAAAAAATTGAAATATACAAGAGCAAACTGGAAGAGGCATGCATAAATGTAAGGGATGCAGAATTCCTACCATTGGCTTGGAAGTTTATAGTCAAAAAGTTTGCCATGAACTCATAATTTATACATTAGTTTATAGTTGCACATTATATCAATTATACCTTAATAATTTATTTAATGTTCAAAGTAATATTACTGGAACATTATTTTTATTAATATATCTGAGTTTGTTTATTTTATTTCATATATATATTTTTATAAGTTACTCTAATGTTATTTTCTTGTTTTTTTATTCTGTTGGAATACATACATTTAAATTCAAAAAATTGACATCTTATGAAATGCAGATGTTCAATCTATTTCAACCTGAAAATGACCTACAAAATAGGTTGAAAACATCAGTTTTATTTAAAACTATCTCGGCAGCAAAAAAGGTATGTTATAATTGTCTAATTACAGTAGACTCCCATATAACATGCTCCTGTAAAACGCAAAGAAAAAATTGCAACTAGCACTCATACAACGCATAGAATAAAGTTAATGTTTTCACATAGTTTCAGATTTTTTGTTTAGAAAAACATACACTTACCAGTTGTTTATATTGGGTTGAGTCATAAATAAGTTTCGTTTTCTAAACTGAAATTTATTTGCCAATAAGATGTACAGTACAAGAATAGACTAATCTAACACACATTCACCATCACTTCTTGCCCTTTCAAATGTTCCATTTTAAATAAATTCAAAAACAATTTTTTATTACATTATTTACACTTCAGCGTTAAAATTTACAGACTACAGTAAAATCCTGATTATCCATGTGCAGATTATCCGTGCATGAATTTAATCTTTAAAAAATAATTATATGTGTATGTATTTTTTAAATAGTTGCTCGCTTTCATGTTTATGCATCCTATAAATGTGCACATGTTCGTATTTAGATGTTTGAAGCAGGTGGTGTGGTATCTAAGTCAGCTGGACTGGTTTTAGTTATGCCGCTTCTTTCATGCTGGACGTTTCTTTTCGGAGAAGAAAACGATAGTGAGTGCATTTATATAGTTTTGTTTAGTTGCATATTATAATACGTATTACAATTTATGATTTGATATAACTCTCCCACAAATACTTTTAGTGTAAAATTACATAACAAGATTTTTTTTTTAATTTTCAGGTAAGTACCCTTAAAATGCCTAATAATTGAAAGTAAATCGTACTTACTATAAAACAAAAACTAACATTAATTGAAAAATTTGAAAAAGGTGAATCTACATTGAATCTACATGTTGTATTTTAGAAATAAATAATTATAGTTTGGATTATCCATGTTTCTGGATCATCCGTGCCACCTCTCCCCACCATTAGCACGGATAATCAGGAGTTTACTATATTTGCTAATAGCCACTAATAAAACTCAATTGAACACAACACAACATCTGGCAAGTATATGACAGTCGTTTAACCTACCTGTTAACGTAACTTGTTTATGACTCAACCCAATATATGAACAGTGAAGCCAACAGTTTAAAAAAAAATTTTTTCGTTGTAAATAATCTTTGACCTCAGGTAGAAAACAGCAATAAAACCAATTTTTAAACATTTCACATGTAGTCCATGCTTTTTTATTAGCTTCCAGTGAACAGGAAGAGTTTATTTGTCTACATTTTTCATTACATGTGGATTTAATGTATGATTAATTAACATTGGCTTAGTTATATGTTCTCCAGCTGCATTAGAACACAAAAGTAAAGTCATCCTATCTTTTGATGCCTTGAAACCAGAAGCGGAAGTCTCATCTTTTGCAATATATGTTCTGTCGTGCATTTTTTTCCAATATAAAGCAAATTCATCGACATTATAGACTTTATCGACATTACAGACATAATTGCCTTCCTCTAATTTTGGAAAAATGTTCGAGAAATCTTTTACCCTTTGTGATAACAGTTAAAATTTAGAGGCATATTTAAACTTGCATAAATTGATCTAATAATGAATATTCCCTATAATGCACTTTCCTACAACGTGGAATGTATCCCCCGTGTTATTCGGGACTCTATTGTATTTGCTGAGCACGTTCTTTTATATTTTATAAATACTCCAAAATATTTTTAGACTACAGAAATGTTATGAAATGAAATTAAATATAAGCAAATTATCTTTGCATATATTTTATTTTAAACAAAACATTTTTTTTTAACTTAATAATAATCTTGAATTTTAATGTTTTTATTAAGTTATAGATCATTGTTGCATATAAATGGATACAAATTTATGCAATGGATGATATATTTATTCAATTACTTAACAATTATTATTTTATAATGTCTTCCAAAACAAATGCTACCACTTTAAATTATTATAGTTACTTGAACAGATTTCAAACGTTTTAATGTATATTACAATGTTCTCAGATAATAATTAAAATAACAATAATAATTTAAAATGGTAATATTCTTTTACACCCTGCATTCTTTATATGATAAAATAATTTATATATATAACATACTTTAGAATTATTTTATGAATTTAATGTTTCAATTGTTTAAACTTATTCTATGCCAGTAATAAATAAATTGGAATTTAATTAAATTTAAAAACCTTGTTACTACCTTATAAATTGTTGAGAGAGACTGAGGTTCATTTTCTTTTTTATTTCTTTTTTTAAGTTCTTTATTGCTTACAGTTGGAATAAATGCTGTTATGTTCATCCACTCATCTCTCTAAAATTCAGAAATAGATATAATTAAATTAATAACTAAACTAGAAATAATTATGATATGCAAAAATAAACAAAAACAGATGTAGATAATTTATATTATTTCATCAGTTAGAAAAATCATTATCATACAAATGCATTGAAAATTATTGATTTACCTTTTCATTTGTAGCTGTAGAAGCTTCTACCCATTCTTGTTCAGATTCACTTTCCTGAAAATATTATTATTAAACTATATATATAGTTTTATTTTAATATTACTTAATTTAAAGATATAAACTATATTAATTAATATTTCTAAATAAAATCAAATAAATTAAAATAATTAAAAGCTTAGAATGAATGAAGTTTACAACTTGTTTAAAGTCATTCTGGATTCATACGGAATATTATTTTTCTTGCATATATTTATATATACAGTATATACTGTATATGTGAGATAATCAGAAAGTAATTTTACAAGTTTAAAAGCAAAAACTCTGTTGACTGTAACTGCAATATAGATAGATATTAATAACCCAGAGTGGCAACACAAACAGAATGATACGTAAGTGCAGAATAGTTGTGATATAGCATTTCCAAATATTAGACTGATGAAGAAGTGCAAGAAGTTATTTGATTTTTTGGTAAAAAAGTTGTACTTGCTGAAAGAGGTTACTAGGAGAAAACTCCTTAGTCAAAGCATTATTCTCAGAATTATAAATTATAAGTATATTATTCTGCTCCATGGCAACATGATGTTTACTGCAATGTTTCAATGAAAAGTTCATCTTTATCCTCTCCGTACAGACCATACCTGACTCCATCTGACTTTCATGTTTTCCCACATTTGAAATACATGCTAATGAATACATGACTGCATAACTGAAAACCATTGTTGCTAGGTGGCTGCAGCAACAGGAACACAAATTTTTTGAGGGCAAAATGAACAAGCTTGTTATATATTACAATAAATGACTGAACAATTGTGTTTTTCTTTAGAAAAAATACATTGCTTGAAGATACATTCCATGTTTGCTATAATAAAAGTATTTGCTTGTGTTATTGATTTTGTAATGTTACTTTTTAAGAAAGTACTTTTTTACATTCAGACTACATACCATCACAAAAGTCAGCTAGCTCAATTACACAGATTACTGTACCGATTAGCTAACTCACAATTGCTGCATTCAGCAGACTCAACAGTTCCAGAGTTGTTGAGTATTTCTCTGCTGAATGCCTCTACAATAGTGCTATACGCTATACTCAATAGTGCTATACTCATTTACGCTATTGTACAATAGTACAATAGCATAAATGAAAGATGCTACTAAATGTGATGTTTGGCATTTTGACATCACATTTAGTAGCATCTTTCATTTACGCTACCTATCGCTAGCTGAAACTGACCAATGGTGGCTGTTTCCTGTTACAACACATATGTCACTCATCATTCAGATATAACAACATAACAGCTACTGATCGAAACATCTTTGCTCAGCTACAACTGTTGACTTTGCAGAACACAGCCAATGAATCTGACCAACATAAGTGAAAAGTGGGAAACAACATCCTGATCTGAAACATACATAGAAAAAGAAGTCACAAGCTAGCTACCTCAGATTCAAAGCAGAATGCTTCCAACATGATACAATAATACTGGGCAACTTAAGCCATATTAATAATGTAAAAAAAGTCCAGCAACAAGTTGCATAACTTTCCCAGCAATAAAGTTAAAAATGTGTATGGCACCTTCTGTTATGAGATTCTATTTTAAAAAGTTTTTATATTAATAATTATTATAAAATGGCAATAAACTTAATTTTGAGGGTGAGGGTGAGGTTTATAAAAATTGTAAATGTTAATAACAAATAAAATCATCATTAAGTCCAACCCCTCTTTAGATACGACACGACACTCCTTAACTCCCCACCCGACCTTTAACCACAAAAATTTAATAACATCAATGTCCCTAATACACAAATTTCCCTGCAAAATTTTAGAAAATTTCTGACAAAAGGCACAGGAGCTTCAAAGTGGGTAAACAAAACTGTGCCTGCACACACACACAGACAAAACCACACAAACACCCATAATACAGAAAAACTCCCAAATCTTTTTGCATTTCTTGACAATTCAAGGTCCTGAGTCCAAAAATATAAAAATCTTGGAAAGGGGTAATTTTTCGACCGATTGCAATATTTTCTATTATATATAAGAGCTGGAAAAGTAATAACTTACAGTATATTTATAATTATGTGAAAGAAAAAGTNGCTGCGGATCCGCAAGTACTCAATTAACTTTCTAAATAATGGTGCAAAAGTCTACGTTGTCGGAGTTGCTGCGTTTCTACGTGTGCTATCGCTTGGTGGCGAGGGTGACGTTGCCGTTCAACGTGGCACATGCTACACCCCCTCTCTACACCGCACTGCCTGCCCTTTTACATCTGCTGATCTAATTGCCAGTTGACTTTCCATTCTTGCTAAATAAAATGTCTTTGCGCTAAATAAAATAAGTAACTCCTCTCCTAGTCCTGGCGCATAATTCTAATTTATGGTCGGTTGTGAAGTCAATGAATCATGTGACGGAACGATCTCAGTTTAAGCCTATGGAGAGCTGCAGCCTCGCGGCTTGTCCACGAAACCTAACCTATAAACTGGCCGTAAAAGCTCTCTGTAGAAGAGAGTCAAGTTTGATAACTGCTGACAACCCTGAAATTTATCTTAGACAAACTAAAAAGCCAGGACACAAGCCAGAACGCAAAAGAATCAGAGAATGGCATCTTATCGAGATCACAGGGATGCTGATTTACATACAGAACCTGAAAAACTATAACCAAAAAATTAGAAAGCACGATTATTCTTTCACAATACCAAAAAAAATGTAATGCGCCAGGAGATGAAAAATATGCTGAATCGAGTAAATACATATGTAGCGGAACCAGCAGCAATGGCTGAGGATATTATGAAAACAGAAAACAATGATCCAGATAACTCGCATTCATTCCCTGAATTTCACATTGGAATAAGAATCGGAGATCCAACTAGAGCGTGAGAAAGAAAACTTCATGAAACGAAAAGAAACTAGTATTGAGAAGGATTATGATAAGTTATTAAAAAGGAAATGGCTGTTTACGAACGTGAGGGAGTCAAAGGTAAAAACTTATCTTTAATTTATGATTATTTGATGACCCTGAAACCAACTAGCATAGAGGCAGAAAGAGCCTTCTCCGCAGCAGGATATATATGCAGTTCATTAAGAAGTAGGTTGGAAGACAACACCATCAATACCATTTGTTTCTTGAGATCCTACTTCCAGAAAAGTCAAAAAAATAACAGAAGTGATTGATTTAATTTTATTTAATCCTTTAAAATACTTTATTCAAGGCAAGACTAATATTTTATAACTTCTACTCTAATTCTATTAAGTAAGAGTTTTTAACTTTTATTCTATAAGTATTTAGTGGGCTNTAAATTAATAACTAAACTAGAAATAATTATGATATGCAAAAATAAACAAAAACAGATGTAGATAATTTATATTATTTTATCAATTAGAAAAATCATTATCATACAAATGCATTGAAAATTATTGATTTACCTTTTCATTTGTAGCTGTAGAAGCTTCTACCCATTCTTGTTCAGATTCACTTTCCTGAAAATATTATTATTAAACTATATATATAGTTTTATTTTAATATTACTTAATTTAAAGATATAAACTATATTAATTAATATTTCTAAATAAAATCAAACAAATTAAAATAACGTTTTATAATTAAAAGCTTAGAATGAATGAAGTTTACAACTTGTTAGTCATTCTGGATTCATATGGAATATTATTTTTCTTGCATATATTTATATATACAGTATATACTGTATATGTGAGATAATCAGAAAGTAATTTTACAAGTTTAAAAGCAAAAACTCTGTTGACTGTAACTGCAATATAGATAGATATTAATAACCCAGAGTGGCAACACAAACAGAATGATACGTAAGTGCAGAATAGTTGTGATATAGCATTTCCAAATATTAGACTGATGAAGAAGTGCAAGAAGTTATTTGATTTTTTGGTAAAAAAGTTGTACTTGCTGAAAGAGGTTACTAGGAGAAAACTCCTTAGTCAAAGCATTATTCTCAGAAATAATTATAAATTATAAATATATTATTCTGCTCCAAGGCAACATGATGTTTATTGCAGTGTTTCAATGGGAAGTTCATTAGCCTCTCCATACAGACCATACCCGACTCCATCTGACTTTCATGTTTTCCCACATTTGAAATACATGCTAATGAATACATGACTGAATAACTGAAAACCATTGTTGCTAGGTGACTGCAGCAACAGGAACACAAATTTTTTGAGGTTCAAAATGAACAAGCTTGTTATATGTTACAATAAATGACTGAACAATTGTGTTTTTCCGTAGAAAAAATACATTGCTTGAAGATACATTCCATGTTTGCTATAATAAAAGTATTTGCTTGTGTTATTATTTTGTAATGTTACTTTTTAAGAAAGTACTTTTTTACATTCAGACTACATACCATCACAAAAGTCAGCTAGCTCAATTACACAGATTACTGTACTGATTAGCTAACTCACAATTGCTGCATTCAGCAGACTCAACAGTTTCAGAGTTGTTGAGTATTTCTCTGCTGAATGCCTCTACAATAGTGCTATTTCAGAACATGTTTGGTATTTTGACATCACATTTAGTAGCATCTTTCATTTACGCTACCTATCGCTAGCTGAAACTGACCAATGGTGGCTGTTTCCTGTTACAACACATATGTCACTCATCATTCAGATATAACAACATAACAGCTACTGATCGAAACATCTTTGCTCAGCTACAACTGTTGACTTTGCAGAACACAGCCAATGAATCTGACCAACATAAGTGAAAAGTGGGAAACAACATCCTGATCTGAAACATACATAGAAAAAGAAGTCACAAGCTAGCTACCTCAGATTCAAAGCAGAATGCTTCCAACATGATACAATAATACTGGGCAACTTAAGCCATATTAATAATGTAAAAAAAGTCCAGCAACAAGTTGCATAACTTTCCCAGCAATAAAGTTAAAAATGTGTATGGCACCTTCTGTTATGAGATTCTATTTTAAAAAGTTTTTATATTAATAATTATTATAAAATGGCAATAAACTTAATTTTGAGGGTGAGGGTGAGGTTTATAAAAATTGTAAATGTTAATAACAAATAAAATCATCATTAAGTCCAACCCCTCTTTAGATACGACACGACACTCCTTAACTCCCCACCCGACCTTTAACCACAAAAATTTAATAACATCAATGTCCCTAATACACAAATTTCCCTGCAAAATTTTAGAAAATTTCTGACAAAAGGCACAGGAGCTTCAAAGTGGGTAAACAAAACTGTGCCTGCACACACACACAGAGAAAACCACACAAACACCCATAATACAGAAAAACTCCCAAATCTTTTTGCATTTCTTGACAATTCAAGGTCCTGAGTCCAAAAATATAAAAATCTTGGAAAGGGGTAATTTTTCGACCGATTGCAATATTTTCTATTATATATAAGAGCTGGAAAAGTAATAACTTACAGTATATTTATAATTATGTGAAAGAAAAAGTAAAAAAATCTATTAATATCTTTTATATATTAAAACTGACAACATTTATTATAGCAGTGTTGTTTAGATAATTCTAAATTTCATATGAAACATTCTATCATGTAAATTATACTATCAATTACAAAAATCATATAGCTGCATATATCTAATTCCTTCAATTTTGAATATAAAGTTTTAAAAGTTTCATTAAAATTTCTTCATTATTCTCATGTTTTTAATGTAATACAGAAAATAAATGAACTATTCATATTACAATATTTCTAGTATACTGTTAAGAAGTGAACGATAAATAAATTCGTATTATCATATTGACACAAGGAGAATACTATCTACCGATACCATTAATGAAATTATTAAATTAGCACAGAATATATACACTTAATTATAAAAAAATTTTGTAAATAGATTACTATATGCACTCTAGCAGACCCACAGGTTTAAACTACACAAGTTTGACTAAACCTTTGGGTCTACCAGACTTAAAATCCATAATTCTTAAATAAACCCACATTTTCTACAAATTACTGTAAACAACCTATTGCAAATTTAAACTGTATAAATTATTGAGCCATATTTCTTGTCATCTGTTACTTTTTCAGAATTATTTTTTGGTTTTTATTTACTGATACCTGTGGCCATTCACACTAACGCATACAAAATAAACCCATAGATTCAAATAACATCACAAGCTTGAATAAATTACACCCAAATGGATTAAATAATATAAATATATAGACCCATAATTATCCAAAGGCATATGTTATGCATAAGACAACTGATTATTTTAATAACAACAATAATCGGTAAATAAACTAAAATATAGTACTGTAATACAGTGGTGCCTCGTATAACGTACTTAATCCGTTACAGGTGAACGTCCGTTAAGTGAAAAGTCCGTTATACGAAACGCATTTTCCCATAGAAATACATGTTGAAACATATAATTCGTTCCGCAGCACAAAATAACCGTACTGTACCATAAAAAAAAAAAAAAATGAAAATGGAGCAGTCACCAATTATGCCGGGTAGTCAGATGTTGTGAGGAGGAGGTGGAGGATCACTTTATTCACACATTCATACAGATACAGACTTTTTACACATTGCAGCAGTCTCTTTTTATTGTTTTTTTAATCGGAGTCAGATTCAGGAGAGGCTACTGGGGCTTTCAGAGTCAACTCCTCTTGTTCCATCCTTTGTCTTTTGGCAGCTGGCTTCTTGAAAAACATGTCCAAAGTGGTCTGTTTCTCTCTCTTCTTCAACACCTGTCAGAAATGACGGGCAAGGGTGTCATTGTAGAGATCATTGATCCTGTTGGCCTCAGCTCCGTTTGCATAATGAGTGCTGGTAAACTCCTGAACCTCTCCCCATTTGACAAGGAAATTTTTGTCAACTTTTATTCCTTCTGATGATTTCTTGCTTTGTTTCAATTGAAATCACCTTTCTGTTTTTTTAGAAGCCATGATTTGCACAACACTTGAATAAATGTAAATACCCTGCACTGAGGTGATGTACGTAATAAACAAGGGAGCAAGCCGAATCCCAACAGGAGCTCTATACTTCAGATATACTAATATTTTCTAACAATATTAATATATTATAAAAATGGCAGATTGTCATTGGCAACGGCAAAAGAGTGGAAACGTCATTTGCACTTGTTCGCAGAAAGTCCATTGTTCTCCTAACGTAACTGCTGAACGGAAAGTCTGATGTTTGCAGCCAGTCCGTTGCTCGAGTCACGTAACGGCCAAACAGAAAGTCTGTTGTTCGCAACGTCCGTTATTCGAGGCATACATTATACGAGGCACCACTGTATAATTAATTATCAATAGAAGTTTTAAAGCTCCACAAAGCAAACAATTTAAAAAAGAAAAAAAAAATCAGAACATTTTATAATTTTTACATACATTCTGACAAATCTTATAGAAATATTTTAAATTATGTTTAAATAAATAAATTTTTTGAGTACTGTAATATTTTTCGAAGTTAAAGCCTAACTTACATTGATTACATTTTAAAATGTTTCTATTATTTCGACCTCCCGACTAAACATGATTAAATCATTTAATCAATGGTTTGGACAAAAAGATTAAGCATCAACTTTTTTTATTTCTTCTGAATATTTATGAATTATTTCTATCATTAAAGCAATTTATCAATGAAATTTTAGTAAAATATTGACCCATAAACACTCATTAATTAGAAATATCATCACATTACATTTAAACAGGAAAAGGATTTTAATAAAAAAAAAGGATATTAAAGTGAAATTAATACTTACAGATTCTGATGATGTGTTGTGTTTGCGTTTATCTTTCTTAGGATGTTTAGATTTCTTTTTGTGTTTTCTTTTTTCGTCCTATAAAATTTATAATTAAGCTTTAATTCAAAAAGTAATACAATCAATTCATTTAATTATTCTGAAAATAATTTTTAAAATAATATACAAATTACAATGATGATATATTTCATTAAACTTTTTACCAGTTTATAATATACAAGAATTAAATTGAAAAGTGTCAACTTTTGTACGCATTTACGTCAACAAAAATATTAATTAACCGAGATTAATTTTCATATTTGACTACAAGTAATTAAATATGTACAAACAAAATTACATCTGATCTTGTGGTTTAAAGGAATAAAAAATTATGTTTATGCAAAATGTCTAGACAAAAATACAGGATGTTTCCTCCAAACATCCCTAGTTTTGTGGATTAGATTTTTCGAAAAAGAAGAGTATATTACTGTAGAAAATGGTAATAGAAAGTGTTTTGGAAAAAGTTAGTTACCAAGTTAAATCAGTACAATTCCGCATATGCTCCTGACATGGCAAGTACAAATGCATCCTAATGTAGTCAGCATGCTAGGAGTCACACTGTTAATGGCATCTGTGATTCTTGTACACAGGGCTCTTATGTCTGATACTTTTGTATCATACACACAATCCTTGACATGCTCACAAAGAAAAATGTTCAAAGACATAATATCAGGTTAATTGAGCAGACCAAGGAATGGGGCTCTAGGGATCTAGACCATGTGACAATGGAAGTCAAGATCACCACCATGCAGCAACAGCATCCCTTTCAAGTGTATGCACATGAAATTTGGAGTATTAACCAACATTCTCCAACACATTTTATTCACATACCTGAACAAATGGATTTTACAGAACAGTTTAAAACTAGGGATGTTCAAGGGGAACATCTTGCATTTTTGGCTAGATGTATAAAACACTTTTGTTTCGTAATAAATATTTTTTAGCTTTGTAAAAATCATTAAAACATTCTATTTATTTTACTTTAAATTCATGTAAAATGAAGTTTTAACTTAATTTTTAAATACATATTTTTAAAAATTGTACTTTTTTAATTGTATATACATACATACATATATATATATGAAATGAACAAAGAAACAATGTATATTTTTTATAATAATGCTTAAAATGAATGACTTTTCTGTGGTAATAATATGTGTAAAGAACTTGCTTATCATTTGCATTATATAGAATCATTTGCATAAAAATTTACCATTATAGAATTGTGTTTCAAAATCTGCTATTTTTATTTTTTAAAAATTTAATTTCATTTCTGCAAAGTGCTCTTACTTTATGAAAAATATCATTAAAGCAGGAACAAAACTCATCGAGTGCAGATTTCCTTTGAATTTAAAAAAAGAAATAACAAAATGGCATTATATTAGAGCACGTTATATGAAATAAATTCAAAAAATAAAAAAATATTTTATTTATGTCATAGAGTTTATGTAAATAAATTTTTTTTATAAAATGTTAATTATTTTTTCATTAAATACAGGGTCTTTAAAATGAATGTTATCAATTTAAATTACTGTAATTATATTAATTATTATCTGAGAAGTATGCGATATATGCCAATCAATTGAGTTATTGTCTGAATTTCCAAATTGCATTCAAATGTCTTCTTTACTACCTTTAGGTAGTTCCGTAAATGAAAATGGCAACTTCCTAACGATATTTTGTGTTCTGCAGTTTGCAAAGTCAGAATCACTCATGACTGTGCAAAATGGGTAATCTGCAGGAGCTGTAGAATTCTGGCTGCTCTAGAAGGAGTGTCAATGGATATGCTGTAGTGAGCATAGAAAAAATTTGAGTATCAGTTGTGTGTGTGTCATGTGATATGAGGTGCACACAGTCGGAAATTAAATGGATAAATGTAAAACTTGGACAGTTTTCTAATGTTTTAATATATGTTCTTAGATAGTAATTAACATAATTACAATAATTCAAAATGGTGGCATTCGTTTTCAAAGATCCTGTATTAGTCTGTTTACTATAGTTGACATGTGAAAATAACAATTGAGGCAGAGTATTAGCAAAGCCTCTTCTACAAGGCTTACAGAATTGTGTTCATTCTCATAATCTGTTTAATTAATTTTGATTAAACTTTGCCATTTTTCATTAATTGTGATGAAGAACACAAAAATGTAATGAGGGTCTATTTAGATGTAAAAAATAGAAGTCATTTTCAATATAGAGATAGGCCTATTAAAGCAGGGTTTGCCAACAGGGTCAGTATTGACCTGTTAGGAGTCGATGAATGTTTGCCAATATAAAAAATTATTTTAAAATATTTAAAACTTTCCGGCTCTGCCTCAATTCTATCATATGACAAAGTCGTACAATGTCCTAGTTTTTAATATATATATAGTCGTAACTTCCAAATAAAAGATTCTTAATGGTAATATCTAAAAATACTACCATTAATTAAAAACGACATTCAATCATCAGCAATGTAACTACAAAAATAGTCTGAATTCAGAATTTAGAAGACAAAAACAAACATGAACAAATTAATCATTAAACAAAAAGATTTTGCTGAGAGACAGTCTTTGATTACCTAAAAACAAATTAGAAATTGAACTTAATAAATTCAGAATATTTTTGTATTTTTTTAAAATATATTTTTATTTTTTATATGCAATTTATATTAAGTAATTAAAAAAACTATGAAAAAATTAAAAATTATAAAAATGTAGTATTTTTATTTCATATCAATAGATGTATAAAAAGGATTGGATTGATGGCATATGGAAATGCAACACATAGATTATCTGACAAGGAAAATATGCCTCTCAGAATTTTCTATGGGAAATTGTCTCCTATTTAGGTGTTAGACGTGTGAAGAAAACCAGGAAAATAGCCAGTTATTTAGCTGATGACAAATTAATCATCAGGCAAAATAGCCGATTGTTTTATTAAAAAAATAACAACAGAATAAACGATAATGTTAGTTCTTGTTTCGGTTTTTATTACAGTTTTTAATTTCCTTTTAGTTTTACCTAGGAAATTAAAAACTTGTATTAAAGAACATGAATCTGCCATTAGGCTGAAATGTAAAAATTCTCCTTGGTATGAATATATCAAAAATAATAAATGTAACATTGATAAAACAAGTATTAAAATATTGTATAGAGAAAAAACATTATCAAAAAATAAAAATTGAAGAACATTATATGATCGTAAAAAATAAAAATTTACTTAATTAAAACACAGGATGTAAATTAGATGACTGTTGGTGTGATATCATACCTATGTCACACCTGCAATGAATACATGGAATATGCAGTCTGTGTGAATTTGTCATAAGTTTGGTCAAGAAAAATAACTTTAAGAAATCGGATAGATATTATAGCGTTTGTATGTTTAAAACATTTTATTTTAGAATTTTACAAGGTATATTTGTAATTTTTATTGTAAATACAATAATTTACGTGGTAAAAATGATTGCTACAATAAGCAATCATTTTTACCACGTATGTATTGGGGTGTTCTGGTTTTGTTGTAATGTAAGAGAGCTGTTGTTTCTCTAAGACTATTGCAATAAAATTCTTGTATGTATGTTTATAACCTAGATTGTACTAAAATAATTTGTAATTTTATTATTTTAGAACTGAAAAGGGCTTAATTTTAATAGAAGGCCAAAATGCATTTTGATAATTTATAAAACAGAATATTGTTAAATAAAAACATTTTTTATTGTCTTGAATTTTGTTTTATTGTCCTCAGATAAACAGTGACAATTGATGGATATTATGACAAGATTGTCATATTAAATATATGTAAACTAATTTAAAATATTTATTAGCCACCCTGTAAATATAAGGGAACTTTATTATTTGTCTTATTCTATTTTTGGTAATATTGTTTTATACATTGCTGACTTGCATATTACACATTCTTAAATAAGATTTTGCTTAACTGGTGTCTCTACCAATTTATTCAAAAATCCTTCCTAAATAATAGGGATATTCATTATCTAGCTTTCTGAAAAGTCATGAAAACATTGTTTCTCTTGACCTTGACTTCATTAGTACAGGTTCAGTGACAAAAGCCATTGGCTTAAAGGAAAACTACTTTGAATTACGCTTGAGTATCAAAATCCATCAACAGGACTAGTTGATGTATTTTTAAACTTACATAAATGGCACAACATAATTCTTTAAAAGACAATAATATTGACCTTTAAAATGTCCAATGAAGATAAAATGAAAATTGCAACAATTGCAGTTGACAATACTAAACAGTTTTAGGTTGTTACTGTCCTGAAATTGTCCTCTCCATATGCATGGTCATGATTAACAGCTTTTCTATAATTCAGCTTTTCTAAAAGCAAGAAAAGCCTCATTGCAAATATCCTTAAATTTTGATTTCTAACAAAGTTCTAGTTGAGAAATGTTGAGATAGCAGTTAAGATTTAACACAATTTAATCCCCCAAAATTCAAAATAACTGAAACAAATTGGAAAATAAATAATGTAAATAACTATAAATCAAAAACTCTCTTTTGCTATCTCACATGGACATAAGCAATAGAAGTTTATTTTGAAAGTAGTGTATTGTAAGAGTTTCTACACATTGCATGATAAAACCTGAGCCAGCAATGATTTATTTTTGATTCTATTGTGCCACACTGACTCTAGATTTTTTGCCACTCCCTTATACTTAAAAATTGGCACATAAATAATAAAGCTTATTTATATATTTTAAATACTAAATACAATTAATTAAAAATTTACTAATGTGAGGTATATAATAAGGACTTATCACAACAGTTATAATAAGCACAAACACCCAGGTATCAATGGAGTACAATTTAATAAAAACGAGAAGGGGTTACATTAAAATCGATTACATTAGCAATTAATATGAAATAACCAAAATGCATTTCAGACTATTGGAATAGTCCCTCTTCAGTTGGTATACATATAAAAGGTTATAATACTTAAAATTATACAAGACAAAGGAACCGTTAAATAGGTATGAACATTGAACAATAAATGAGTGTAAAGAAGACAGGCTTAAGGCGGCTTCATAATGTTACACGGTAGCTTGACGTAAGGGTTACTATTATAACCAGTATTAAACCAGTATTTTTCAATGTTCATACCTTTATAACGGTTCCTTTGTCTTGTATAATTTTAAGTATTATAATCTTTTATATGTATACCAACTGAAGAGGGACTATTCCGATAGTCCGAAATGCATTTTGGTTATTTCATGTTAATTGCTAATGTAATCGATTTTAATGTACACCCCTTCTTGTTTTTATTAAATGTACTCCATTGATACCTAGGTGTTTGTGCTTATTATAACTGGTGTGATAAGTCCTAATTATCTACCTCACATTAGTAGATTTTTAATTAATTTAATTATCCCAAGGGCAAAAAGCAATTTCTTTACTAAATACAATCTTTCAAAATTCAGATCTTTTAATTTTACAAGCAATTGTAATTTCTAAAATGATGCCTCTCATAAACCCTAAGGATATCCTTGCTTTGCTTGTGCCTGGATATTACATATTTATATAATTAGATTTTCTAATTTAGCAAGCAATTCTGTGAATGTATAAAAAAAGTTGTTACCATCATTTTTATCATTACATCAAAATATATTATTTTAAATCTATGTTAAAGTTTCAAAAATTCTCTTATTTTATAATATATTTGGATATTTAACACAAAGTAGGAAAAGTAAATATTTAGGCTATACACATACAAAAGATTATTTGGTTTTATATATCAGAAATATAGCAAATATGTATAAAAGATAATAAGTCTTAGAAAATGATTAATAATTAGTTTTGACATGAATTAAAACTGTTATATAAATGTGAAAATAACTTCCAATAAACTATATGCAGTGTAAGTAAATACAAATATTTGTGTTGCTAGAGGATAAAGTTTTTGCAGAAAATCTGAATATATTTTTCTAAACGCAACTAAGAGTTTAATTAAAAGACACGTAGTTTGAACATTACTTGAACTACAGTTTAATCTGAATATAATGTCCTCCTTAATAGCACTACGATTGTAAACTGTCAACAAATACTCCGGAACAGATTTTCGTTAATTGTTCAGTATTTTCAAAGTGATAAATGTGCAATTTTTCATTATAAATGACATTGTTATTACCAAATAACAGCTTTCAAACTTCAAACTTGTGTATACATCTCATTATTATATATGATTCTTATTGTTTAAGGTGATTTCACTTAGTACCAAATTGACAGACAAACAAATAATAACAGTAAGTCAAGGTTTAATTCTATTTAAATTCAATATCTGTAAATAGTTAACATTCATTGTCAATATAAAGACATCACGAAGATGATCTGTTATAAAATTGTGTCAATCTAGTTAATTTTGTGGATTCATTCACACGAGGAGTCATAACGTAGCGAATTTACTCAAACTAATCATATCGCCTGTTAGCGACTTAACTCCAAAATCCAATTTTGAGTTATAGCCAGCACGAGAATCCCAATCATTTCCAGTAAAATGTCATTATTCTACCAAAGTCTTCGAAACTTATTCAAGTAAAAAGCAGCAACCTAAACCAAAAACCAACAGAAAAAAAGTGTTTTTATGCTTTAGTGACATAGCTAAAATGTAAAAAGTTACATACCAGCTCAAAAGGCAAGAAAAATTAACCCGTTAGAAAAAGAAAAATCAATGGGATAACTCGAGTAGTCGAATAGGAATGAAAGGTCGAAATTCAACAAAAATTTTAAAAGCAATTATATCAAAACGGCATTTTTCGGAGTCACGTCTCCGACATTCTCGGCAGGCAATATAATTATCAAAAGAAAATGTATATTAAGCTTGCCGGATTAATAAAGACATTATACATTCAAATTATTGCTTTCAGTCTGGCAATTTATACATCAGAACTTGGTAGAAGTTAATTTTAGGTCATTCATTATAATGTTAATTAAGTGAAATTGTACAGGTATCAATAATTAAATATAATTTCTGGGTAGGTGTTACTTCTAGGTAATTTGTACACATGCAAATTACCTAAAAGTAGCTCCTACCCAGAAATTTGAAGTGTAAGTGAAGAAAACTGAATATAAATAAACAGAAATGTGTTTCAAATTAATTTAAATCCAACAATGTACAATTCATAAGTAGGCCTTCCATTAACATAATGTTTTAAATTAAATAAGCCCTACACAAAGAAAGAAAAAAAATAAGCATATTATACCTTATCGCCTAAACGATCCTTCCCCATGTTTATAAACAAAAACGAAAAAAAAATATTTAAAAATTCAATCAATTTCAAAGAACACGCACGCCACGTGACCGAAACAAACATGGAAATGACGTCACACAGGCCCGTAACGACGTCACAAGCGATTCTCGTCACCAGTCAACTCAAAAACCTAGGTTAGAGGGTTTCACATTGACCTCGATCGCGACGTAAAAAGGAAAAAAAAAATAAAAAAATAATAATAATAATAAAGAAAACATCCCCAAATCATTGTCTATATTATATAACAATTAAATAAGCCGTTAGATTTTGATGAAATCGACATTTTTTGTTCAGACCACGCCGTAATGGTTAGGCTACAACGACATCCAGATCCGAGCAAACGATTAGAATCGACAACGGACAAGATGGTGTCCACTCGAGGAGTCAAATTTAAATTTTCCGAAGGCGAAAAAGTCCTGTGCTACGAGCCGGATCCGACCAAAGCTAAAGTATTATACGAATCTAAGGTAAGATGTCGTCATAGAACTTAATTTTATACGCCCTTAACTCCGATTACGTAACATGAGAGGCCTGCAAGTAATTTTACAATTGAAATCTACATCGTTTTCGTGTGTTTCGGGTCCCGTGTGACGTCTTCTTTTTAATTGTGACGTCGAGATACGACGATTTTCGGCGTTATTTCGGGGTACCGATGATAATTCGGTAGGGCCCCGTAACGCCGGTATTGATTTATTGCGATATTTCTGTCGTTTTTCATCCTTAAACTAATTTCTATGCCTTTTTTACAGTCGAATTTGAGTATTTTATGGCTTTGTTTACTTACTTTTGCATTTTTTTTTTTTTCAGGTAATAGAAACATGTGAGTTGATTCTTAGAGTAATGGGTTTGTATGTATGTATGTATGTATGTATGGGGTCGCGAGCTATACACCGAGTGCACATTGGAAATGTATGATGATTTTGTGTGGAGATTTGTGTTAATTCTGGTGACGGATACTGCAATTTCCGGCATTATTTTCGGGCGTAGATGCTAAATGGATTCGGCTCCGTAACCCAAGTATTGATTTTATGGATTTATTTTCAATATTGGCATTGTCGATTGCAACGTTTCTGTAATTTTTGCCCCCTTTGCTTCGTTTTTACGGAAATTCTGACATTTAAACTAATTTCTGAGCATATTTTAAAGTCAAATTTAAATGTTTACGGTTTTGTTTACTTATTTAGTTTTTTTTTTTTTCGGGTAATGGAAACGTTAATTTGCATGTGAGTTGAATCTTTAGATTCTTAGTGTGTTGGGTTTGTATGCAAATAGAAGTTATATGTGGCATTTACATTGGAAATTTGTACAGTAATTTTGTTTGTTAAAGTTCTGTGCGATGATTTGTATTAATTACGATCGTAAATATGATGATTTTTGACATTATTTCTAGTGTAAATGGTATATAGACTGGACTCTGTAACGCGAGTATTGATTTTATGGATTTATTTTGATATTGTTGTTATAAATTGCGATATTAATCTCTTTTGCTTTGTTTTTACAGTCATTTTGATGCTTAAACTAATTTACGAGTTATTTCTTTCAATTAAATTAAATATTTTATGGTTTTATTTATTTATTTATTTAGCAGTTTTTTTCGGGGCAATAAACACGATTCGAATCTTTAGATTCTTAGACTGAAGTAGTTGTATGAATGTATGTATGCAAGTAGTAGCTGAACAATGCATTTATATTGACAATGTACATAATTTAATTTGGTAAGAGTCTATAAGAGATAAATAACAATCCATGAAACCTTTTTTTACGAGTGTTATGTCCGTAATAACCTCCACAAATGCTTTCAGTCACCATCTGAAGCAGACCTCGGTGGAGGTCGAAAGCGTTTGTGGAGGTTGTTATGGACATAACACTCGTAAAAAAAAGGTTTTGTGGATTGTTGTCTATAAGAGAGTTTATGTTATAATTCTGATGATAAATGTGATCATTTTTAACAGTATTTTGTGAAGCTGGACGAACTGCTGAATTATTGGGCTATAATAACGCTGCTAAGTTAATAATTAGATACAAAGTAATTTGTCTATAGATAGGCTTTATTATAGCCTGCAATATAATTCAGTAATTCGACAGTTCATCGGGCTTTAATCGAAAATTGGGTTTGTGGAGTTGTTTTTTATGGTATTTTAAGCACAAAAGCTAAAAATTATTTGATTTTGTAACAGAAATATCAATCTTATGAATTCATTTTGACAATGTCATTATAAATTGTGATTTTATATAATTTATCTCGCTCTTTGTGTGATGTTTTAAGAGCACTTTTTCTCTTTAAACATAATTTCTGACAGTTTTTAAGTTCAGATTTCAATATTTATGCATTTTTTTATTTATTATTGGAATTTTCTTGAAGGAATTCAATCATTAATTCAAAAATTAGCTTAAATTTTTATGTTCTTATACCCCAAAATCCTAGCATGAATATATATTTCTGTAATTCGCAACTGTTAATTAAATTACTTGTATTATTTAATTTAACTTCCAATGCATAATCTATTTAAATTATATGTATTTGACTGATAGAAAGCAGCTTAAATTTGAAACTTTGTGATATGTAAAATTTAATAACAATTATTCTCGGCAGCTATTTAAGAAAATTACAAACATTATCTACTTAATTATTGAAAATGAAAAGTAAATATTTAAATTTACAAAATTAAGATGAAGGTAAATATGAAATCCATCTGCATACAGCGAGGATACGCCACTGTTTCAAATATTTAAAATAACAAATATAGTTTCGGTCTTGTATGCACGTTAAATTATTTAAAACTTTCATAAGCTTATTGGTTTAGTTTTGCCGTGGACGGTACACCCACAGATTTCATATTTACCTTCATCTTTATATCAGTTTTATTTTATATATCAAGTTAAGAAGGGAGAACTTATAAACATAATTTGATGGCTGCCTTGCTTATTATGGAAAGAATACAATTAAAAAGCTAAAGATTGTAAGTATCCCCACATTTCTTTATGCAGCGCTCGAGAAGCGCTTTACAGCAAACACACTGAAACTGGTTTCTAATTGGCTAACACTGCTCGTGATGTCATTTCGCTACACTCTCACTGCATAAAGAAACGTGGGATATTATGATTAAGACGTGTATATCTTCATACTTTTGCATATTATCTGTTTAAAAATGTATATTTAAAAACATATAATCATAAAAATTAATTACAATTGACTTAAGTCTTTAATAATTTGGTTAAGACCAAATTATTAAATTAAAATTTTTTGTCATTAATAATGATTTACATAGTTTTAGTTTTATTTAAAATGATGACGAATATACTAAAGTCCTTTTTAAATTTTTCTGTTCGAGTTATATTTGTTGTGAAATTAAAATTCATATATTTTTCTTTGCAATGTATTTAGGTTCTTGAACTCGTAGTCAGCAGGGATAGTAAAGGAAGGAAAGCACCTGAATATCGCATCCATTTTTATGGCTGGAATAGCAGGTTTGTAGTAGATAGATATAAAGATTTTATTACATTTTTAACTAAATAAAACACACATTATATCTGTTAAATATAAGTTTATGATAGTTTTGAACAGTTTTATTGAGATAATTTTCTTTTAGTTACAGTAACATTAAAAAATTTCATGATAGTAATCATAAAATATTTAAAATTGTGACACTAATACTCTCAATATTTTATGCATAGCATGTGTGACATTAATGTTGACGAAAGCACTAGAGTCTGAAAAATGAGCTCCTGACGTACAGTAGAAACACAATTATCCAAAACCTGATTATATGAAAGTTTTCAAAAAAAAATCTGGCATGTGTAGCATTGTACAGTACATATCATGGAGTATAATACACAGAAACTAAACTTTTGTGTAACTGGAAATCGCTATATCATCTGTCAATTATAGCACCACAAAACTAGGTTATATATATATATATATGTAACATTGCATTAGATTTTGAGTAAATTAATATACTTTCAAATACAGTAGTTACGTTACAATATTTATTGTTATGAAACTTTAAATGCACAATACTTGATGTACCTGAAACACAAACACGTAAATTTCTGAATTATCCAAAAGACTCTGATCCCGTCAAGTTCGAATAATCAATTTTTCCACTGTAATTTGAAAGTCGATACTATCCATTAATAAATCGTTTTAGTATAAAGGTCTATAATTAAAAATTTTTATAGATAGGTGATATTTAAAGTATAATTAATGGTATTAGAAAGTACTAAACAAATTTACCAAAACTTGATAGCAGATTTTTAAAACAGTATCAAGGTCTATAATTAAAAATTTTTATAGATAGGTGATATTTAAAGTATAATTAATGGTATTAGAAAGTACTAAACAAATTTACCAAAACTTGATAGCAGATTTTTAAAACAGTATCTTGAAAGAAAAATTAAGAAATTAACATTTGATACAAAATTTCTTAAACTTTATTTGAAATTTATTATGAAAATTAAAATAGAAATTCATAATTATATTTAATTTTCACATTACAACATAAAAATTCTTATAATACTTGTATACATTTCAAATTATATTTTGAACACATTACATCATTAAAATCAGTCAAGGTTTAGACACACTAAACTGGATTGTATTTATGTAAGACCTACAGTAGTATATATCGGATATAAAATTTACTTTACAAGATTTAGCAATACTTTCATAAATTAATATATTAATTTATTTCGGAAATTAAAATTATATTGCGCACATTTTTCTGCAAGTATACATTCCTGTTAACAAATTTCTTCTGCTAAAACTTGACGAATCAAAATATAAATTATTCTGTTAAATCATCATTATATTAAAAATACAAATCACTTTTTTAAAGAAAACAAATAGCTAAAATTATATGTTGAAAACAGATAAATAAATTTAACCAAAAAAAGCCATTTCACCGTGCAGAAGTAAGAAAATCAGGAGAACGATAAGCTTTTTACTCATTTCAGTATTATTTTTAAAATGCTAGCATCAAATCTTACATATTATTATTATTTTATTTAAAATATCCAACTGTGAAGTTCGAGAAACCAAAATTATTCTTACATTCGGTAACATTTTTTTATCATAAAGTGTAAGAATAATTTTGCGAGTTATAGTTTGCGACCAAGTCAATAAAATGTATCATCATCGATGCTTTAGTAGAATTCCTGTTAAATGAAAGGAGCAAGTTGCACAAATTTTTTTAATTTTGAAATTATTTGTAATGATTGGTGTGTATCTAGCATAAAATATTTAAGGGTTAAATTTTTTTCCTGTTTTGTTTATTGATTGATTAATCCGAATGAAGTTTCCATAGAAACATAACATACCTTAAATATGATATATGAACATAACTGAAATTTACACGCATTATTATGTTATGTTTTATCCATGATAAACAACTTAACATGATTATGTTTTAAATCAGTTTTTATTACATTAACTTCTATGTTAAATCAAAATAATAATTAATTCTTCTTTTAAACTATAATCTAGTCAAGATAATTAAATAATTGACAATAGTAGATAATTAATAATTATTAATATGAATTTTATTTTAGTTGGGATCGATGTGTTTCAGAAGATTTCATTCTCCCTGATACTGAAGAGAATAGGAGTTTACAAAAGAAATTGGCAGAAGAAGCTGCACAGAAACTGTAAGAATGTTTTGCGTTTTTAATATTTATTAAACTACACACATTATCCAATTCATTACAATTAGAAACATAATTCTATTTGGTCGGTATTTTTATTATTTTTAAATAATAATAAAGAAAATTAATCATGCCATTATTATTAACAGATTGAATCAAAAATTAATTCAGAAATAATTTAATAATTCTCAAACAATAAATATTAGAAAATGAATGATTCTGACATTTAGTAATTATTATATAGAATAATGTCAGAGGCATTTATTTTCTACTATTTTTCTACCTTGAAACCTCTTTCTGTTCATAAGATATTTAGAGTCATGCACGATTAGTGAAGAATTTCAGTGACATTTTTTTAAGCTATTTTTACATGCCTTTAAACCTCAGTAGATGTTCCAATTTATAAAAAGAAAGGTTCAATTACCAGTTAAACATTTATATAAATCCTTTAAGTTAATATATATTATTATAATTTTAGAAATAATGATGTATGTAATTAAATAATATTTTTCGTCTTTTACTATATTATAAAAATAATTAATTTTAATTAGAATTATTAATAGACACATTTAATTAATTAAAATATTTTTTCAATAGAAACATCATTCCTCTCAAAATAAACACTGTATCGTATATTTGATTTATAGAAATTTAATTATTTTTTGAAATTTAAAATAAAGTTTTTACAATTATTAAAAAACTAAATTGTACTGGAGCATAATAATGTTTTAAAATTTTATATATCTATTGATATAATAGATCAAGTATAGTTTTATTATTACAATAATAGACATATTTAGTTTTTTCACACACTATATCCTTAATTATCTTTTAATTTATTAAATATTGTTTATTATTATTCTCAAATGCTATTTTAAAGAATAATTTTGTATATTTTTTTATGATTTAAAGAACAATTATAGAATTAGAGTGTACTCTCAGTCATCTGAACTAATTACAGTAGAGCATCGATTATTCGACCCCCGATTAACTGTCACATCGGTTAACCGACCGTTCTAGTTGGCAAATTCAAATGTCCGCTAGTGATGTGGCGCTACAATATTTGGCTATGTCTTGGCTACTTTAATAGTACTTGTACGTGTTTTAGCTAGCAACACTAGCTCGGCCATGAAAGGGAGCCAGTATTTAAATGAGGCTTAATTTTCTAATTTTTAACAATACAATAGTGACGATTATTATTTTTAAAAAATTTTTGTTAGGCTTAACATCTATGAAAATTCAATGCGAAGTAGGTTAATAGCGATATACTAATATACTAATTACATGAGATATACTAATATACTGTACTAATAATGTATTTTTTCATATTTTTCGGTTATCCGTTTTTTCAGTTATCCGACCAACCCCAGTCCCCAATTGAGTCGGATAATCAATGCTCTACTGTATTATATGGGAGTCTTTTGGATTAGCAGGATTGTATTTAAGGAAAAGCAAGTCAAAAAAGCTACAGTAATCCACAATTTATTTCTGATTTTAGTTGGAAGATCTAGCAGAAAACAAAAAGAAATTGGTTTGGATTAGTGAGAATTTACTGCTTTCATTTATACAAAATGTTAATTGTAAATTTAAAAAAATTTAGAGAAATGCACATTAATTGAATGTATTGTTTCACAAATTTATTCTCAATATTTTTATTTATTCAAAATTTNACCAGTCATTAATATGAAAAGGTATTGTGTATATCTAATCAAGTAGGTTATTGTAACACTTTTATATTTAATTAAAATTGTATATTATAATTAAATAAAATAATCTTTTCAAATGAATATTTAATCAGCAGGAAGAAGATGGAGAAAAAACTGTAAATATCACTATACCAAATACTTTGAAAGAAATATTGGAGCACGATTGCTTTCTTATCACTCAGAAAAATAAGGTAAGTTTAAATCTTTATTAGATAAAGTAAAATTTGATGTATATCCTGTATTACCATGTAATGAATTAACTAGCGATTCATTAATGCTGGCTTTATTGATATATTAGTCAATATTAAATCAGTTATAATATTTTACACATTTGAAAATATGGCTTAATACCATTTATTTACTGTTGTTTCTATGTTCTGTTTAATAATAGATTCGACAGAATTCAGAAAATAAATTATTTTGAATTTGAAACTATTTTATAGTATAGAAACATCACCAAACGATCACCTAAATAATCAGGCTATAATTCTGCTAATTTTAAATAAATAATACAAAGTAATTTGGTATAGAGGTAAGATTAGGTGCCATCTCTTATCTTACCTCTATACCAAATTCATTTGTATTTATTATTTAATTACAGCCATATTATAGCGGCACCCAATGTCTACCTCTAGTAGCAAATAACTTTGCATTAATTATTAAAAATTATCAGAATTACAGCCCAATTATTTAAACGATTTGATATACTTATCAAACTTTGCAATGTTTGTTATACTTCTATTTTATAATATTTTTTGTAATTAGAATATAATGTAAGTATAATTTTAACAGAAGAGTAGTTTTACATTGAAAGACAAATATGAATATAATCATTATAAAATTTGACAATGCATAAAGTATCAGAAGTATCATAATCATATAATTTCTAACAAGAGAAAAGTTAGAACAATAAGATGATAATTTTTACTTTTACTAAGCTAATTAATTATTAGCCTGGAAGATATCTTATCAAAATTCAAACTTGAATAAATTGCTAACAGCCAAATGAAAGATTTTATTATATTTTCCTCAAGTTATAAACTTTTTATTTTTATTATTAGTTTATAAAAAATAATAATACATTAACTTCTCACTAAAAGAATGTAAAAAACAGATACTTTCCAACTATTCTTAGTTGACAGCTGTAATGTGATTTTTGCAATCTTTGATATATGCAATACCTCAAAACATTTTGAATCATGTTACTGCTATTAACTAAATATAGTTTCTGGAAACTGTAGTTATATGTATGTTTAATATATGCACAAAGATAGATAAATAATAATTCATTTTTAACTAGACTTAATATCATTTGGATTCTATTATTGAATTAAGCAGTATTCATTCTCTTATATTGTAAATAAATAAATTTAAGGAAGCTTCAACAAATGATTTTTATAATCAATGATTTTTCGTGGCATGCAGATTCTCTTTAATCGAGTTACTGATTGAGTATTTATCACTTAAATGAGTGATGATAATTCTTAGATGTAAAAATATTACCTATATAGTTATTACCTTAAATATTCCTTAGCAAAGTGACCGATGTAATTGTGTAATTTTTCTGTTTTTAATTTTTTGAATTATAAATTTTAAAATTCTTTTGTCCTTCTAGTTAATAAAACTACCATGTGAAGTCAATGTGGTTTCAGTTTTAGAAGCTTATGTGAAGAATCTTGCTGTAAATTTATTATGCGCATCGCCTCCCAAAGCTAGTAAACACGGTTCTCGAGCATGTGTAATACCAGCCGATGTCGAAGTCAAGTAAGTATGATTTTCAACGAACAAATTTTCTTAAATTCTAATTCTCTATTTTACAAAATATATTACATTATAATTTTTGAAAGTTAATATTTTAAATATATTCTTGAAAATGAAACTGCTTTATTGATTTGACAAACCAATACTTACAAAGAAAATACAAATTTTGCAATTCATTTAACAAATTCTTGAACTAATATGATATTTGTAATAGAAGAAATTCACCTCTCTTTCATTATACCAATAACAATTCATATATTTTTACCCGTAGTATTCAGTTGTGTCGAGAAGTAATGGACGGCTTACGAGTGTATTTCGATTTCACACTACCTCATCTACTTCTCTATAGACAAGAACGTAAACAGTATAGCACGGTAACAACGGTTTGTCGACCAGTCATTAATATGAAAAGGTATTGTGTATATATTTTTTCAAGCATTGTTTTATGCTCAATTGTAACAAGTAAACAGATAATCTTTAATTTTTAAAAAATATTCAGGGATATAGAAAATATAATATAATGTTGCAAGAAAATAGTTATTCATCATTTATAAAAAATTCTTATTGTGAAACCAGTGACTGAATTTACTAATATATTGTCATTTTTTTTTATATGGGGCTACCAAAAATAATGCTACCATTTTAAATTATTGTAATAATGTTAATTATTTTCCAAGAATGTTGCAATTACATTAAAACATTGGGAAACTGTCAAAGTTTTACAATTTCTCAATGTGTGCACCTCCTGTCAAATTCTTGTGCACTCTGATTAGTTGGCTCGTAGGTTTCCATTTCTTATTTTCTTTAATTCACATTGTCTTTAAGGCTTAGTACTGTTTGTTCCAACAAGTCTTAAAGGATCTTTAATTAAAGACCCTCCCAATTGTGATTACAGCTTTAATTAGAACAAAATAAAATTATTTATTATTTTGTTTGCTGTTTACTTAATGACTTAACTATAATTTTCTTAACATTAAATTTAGAAATGTCTGTATGTCATATTTGCTTTTCTTGTTTTGTATTAGTTCCTTTTTTATTGACGAATAATCTAATCATTACTTTCATTAATTTTATTTTAATTCATTTAGAATTGTTGATCGATAGGTAAATAGATGTTTTGTAGCACTTGAATTTTATTTGCGAAATATGTTCTGGCTTGATTGCTCAGACAAAAACTTCAATCATAAGAAATAATGGAAAAGCTCATCCATATTTAAGAGAGGTTTCAGGAACAAAGCCCATTAATTGGGACTACACTACATAAAATTTTGAGAATTTTTAGTTCAATTTTGCATTTTGTTCTGACATTTGAATATTCCAATCATGATTCAATAACAGTACTTTCAATGGCAGCAAGAAATATTCTTCGGAAGCATCATAAGCTAGGCAATAATGTGAATTTACAATATAGATAAACAGGAATACTCAAAAAAAATGGATCCCATTAAAGTTTTTTTTATCAATGAGTGATTAAAAAGTCAATGGACCTCTGTTGCTTGAATAAATTGTTTTACATGCATGAATTTAGTGTAATAAGTACTTTACATACAATGTTGTTGTTATGGCAAATAATAACAGACCATTTTTTGTGTTTTATTCCGTAAATACCATATACTAATTTTCCAACTCCAATTTCTAGTAATCATATCATGTGATTTTAGTAATCTGCATACTATAGGTCGAACTTCATTTTCTTGTCTCATTTTTCATTAGCAGCATGTGTAAGTCCAAAATGTTTTAATATAACTTTATTGAATATAGTCCTTTGATACATCAAAAATAATTATTATATTCTACTTAAAATAGTGAAGCAGTTACTGAAGATGCTATTCAAACCTCTCAAGATACTTTGTCAAAAGATCATCAAGAACCTCCTTCATCTTTGTCAGAAAACATGTCAAAAAATAATTTTCCTACCACGCCACCTTTTTCCCCTTCATCCAAGACTCGATCCACTCGTCATCGTCATGGCTCCATCGTCTCACACCAGCCCCTTTCTACCACAGAAAATGGACTGGGTTCGCCCAACACTTCACCCAAGTACAAAATCTTAAGAAACCAGCATTCTAAGGATGCAATTGTTATATCAGCAGGTACTTTTTTAAGCATCTGGTAATCGTTGTCTTATGTGATATATATAAAGTGAGCCGGCATACTTTATTGTGTTTTTAAATTGCAGGTGAAAAACCCACAGTTTCTGACAAACGTGTGTTACGTTCGACAGAAAGACTGCGATCAGTGACAGTTACAATAAGTACTGAAGCCTCTTTTGGCAACACCCAGGAGAAAGAGTGTTCAGAGACCGACACTCAAACAAAGTGTGAACCAACAGATTCTCAGTCAAGTCCAACGCGATCGAGTCGTCAAAGTACAAAAAATACAACTCATCATTCGTCGTACTCTTCATTCTCTGCAAACACATCACAAGCTTCGGTCAGTCATAATCATTCCACGGTGACATCATTCACTCAACGGGTCAATCCACCACCGCCATTAAATATACTAACCATTTCAAACTTCAGTTCATCATCTTCGTCTACTAATTCAAGCGTTTCGAGTCCCACCCTCAGCGGAGCAGTTTATCACATGGCAAAAGCATCAGAGGTTCTGAGTGAAGTGTTATCTTGGAGAATGTTGCCTTCGCACATATATGAACACGTTCCGGCTCCACCATCTTTGTTATACGGTGCACAACATCTGCTACGTCTTTTCGGTAAGATCGTCGAATAGAAAATTTTCCACAATTTTTTTTCCAATGCAGACTAATTTATTTTTATATTATTGCAGTCAAGCTACCGGAACTCATACACAGAATGAACTTACCTCATCGTAAACTGGTCCCATTACTCGACTACATAAACAATTTCCTCGAGTAAGTATTTTGCCATTTGAATCGGAATACAAATCTTTAAAACTTAACATACTACTTTCCAATGTAGGTACATGGCCGAACGCAAGGAGGAGTTGTTCTTCAGCTCGGCGTATGTAGATGACACCGAAGGATGCCCCGTGGAAGGCGGTACATGACACGCGTAGCCATCGAACCAAACCATGTATCATAATGTACAGTAATAAAACTTCACATATTCAAATTGTAATTAGCTACGAATGTGTTAGCTTTTAGTGAACACTGGGTACAAACCGTAAAACTTTCATCATGTAAAAATGCATGAAGTTAAAACTTCATTAAATGTTTCCTGTTTCTTGAGTTGCATCAAATGTAATTGTTGACATTCTCAATGAACTAAAACATTAAGAACAATAAATTTCCATGTAATCTATAATAATAGTTTTATGGATTTTAAAATCTAAGAATATTTGAAAAAAAAAATTCTTCATAAGACAAAATGTGAATAATAAAGTTTATCAGTATTGTATATTATGTAATTACTGTTTTGATATGATTTATATAATAAGTTGGACAATTGTTCATAGATAATAAAATGACATTTGGACATTAATAACAATTACTATTTACAAAAGTTTATTTTACTAATTTACAATTTTTTAAATATTTTCTACGGCCGTTTTCGCTATCGCTCATTATCATAGTTCCCGGGAGGCGGTACGGGTAGACCCATCATGTACTTTTTTACATCCACCTCGACTTTCGAAGGAAACAAGAAATAACAATAACAGCTGCAAAGAAAAGAAATTTTGAAATTATATTTTAAAAAATAGCAAAATGTAAACACATTTCTAGTTTAAATATTAAATCAAATAAGAATCCTTGTAAAATTCTTCGTTCGATTCGAATGTAATATTAAATTTTGAATGTTTTGTTTGGAAATACAGTAACTGTTTCCGATAGGGTTTATAACATCGAAAATGTTAAATAAATTTTGTCGAATGACTTCTATAAATGTACGATTAATACAAAATTACATTAAAAGTATCTGTCATTAGTATGCCAACTATACGTTCGCTGCAGATTTGCATATTATGGGCGTGACTCACAATTAGATGGATCGGCATCTTCGGAGGATGCCTGGATCCGTATGATCCATGATAAATTTATAGTAGGTGTGCACTGGTTGTGTCAAATCTATAGACACATTCCAGTATGTATCGACCACAGCTGCAAGTGATGCACCATGAATGGTTAGAAAAGCTTACATGACAATACAATGGAAGGCTTTATATTGGCATTTACAGATTTCTCAAAATGAGTGTTACTGCAGAGGTTAATGACGCTAATGAAAATATTTCATTGTTAAAATTATCTGCACTGTTTTTTTATATATTGCAGTTTATAAAGAAAACAAAAATTGTATCAATAAATTTAATTTACAACTAAATGTTCTAAACATAAGTAATATGTTTTTATGCTCAGTCAATATTAATCATGGAGGCAGCCATATTGCATGCTTCAGACCTGAAGAGTCCAACATGCATCAGTTGCCATACCAACAAGCTTGTCTGTGAATACTACAAGTAAAATACTTTTCTGATACGTCACGATTCACTGTCTGATACACTGGAATGTGTCCCATGTCTTTTTGGTATAATGACAAGTACCTGATAAATCTGGATGAACATGAGATATGAATCCAGATCATGTTGGTAGAGCAGACATATTAAATAAAATTTACTTTTATATATAGTGTATAGTGAATTAAAGCTCTTTTATAAGAAATATTTAAAAATAGTTTTAGAACTATTCTTAATTGTTGATAATTAAAATTACTAAAATGAAAACCAATATGACAGATCGGATTATCATAATCATTCGTTAGAATTTTGCAAGATGCATTAAGTTTTTAATGCTAGGTTACGTTGAAAGTCGATCATCCACTCGAGAAAACACTTTGAAAGAGAGCAGCTGCAAGCTTAAAAATATAAAATGCAGAAATAACTGTCGAGAAATGTCGTGACTAGTACCTCTGCTATCTGTAATCATGGTATTATTTTCTGTAATTTATTTAATAACATTTAAATAATATAACACAAATTCTTAAATTTTTTCTCATCACATTGCAAATTTTCAGCTTTGCTTTATTTCCAAATCTGTTAATTGGGAAAAAATCTGCACAATTATTTTTCCTACATCTTTACAAACTATTGTTTTAAGACAGCAAATGTTAACAATTTTACAACAACTGCCTTTTGAAATGTATCATTTATCATATTTTCCCCAATAAACAATTGAATTACAACATTAACTTTTCTTTTGCTGACAATCATTTTGCTTCAAAATGACAGTTAATAAGTAAACTTAGCTGTTTTTGAAATGTCCTATATAATAACAGTGCTTATCATATTTCTTCAAATTAAGTTATTCTTAGTACGAGGCCGAGCGTGCTAGGCTAAGTTCAATTAACTTTATTAACCTATTCAATTCCATTTACTGATATCTAGGATAGAAAAATCAACATTCTTGTGTTTTAAACACATTTCATTAAACTGAATCTTTATTTCAATAATACCCATGTTTATTTTTACTTGTTGATAATAAATATTGAGTAAAGTGATAAAATATTCTGCATAGATTTGCTATTAATGTCATTAAAATAATAGAAAAATTGTTTTTTTTTTATGGCCAGAAAGTTAAAAATTTTGATGTTATCAATATTTCTGAAACTTTTCTGCGGAGAATTCAAGTGAAATGAAGAAGCAATTGTAAATAAATAGTCATGCCACATAGCAGAAATGCAAAATGGATATTTAAAAAATATGTTTGAACAATGAAAGTTTCGATCAGCTCAATTATTATTATGTAAAATACACATTAAAGTTTCGATTTAGAAACTACAGACAGTTCTGAGTATTCAGAATTGGAAGAACTATTGGGCAAATCCAAACCAAATTTATTATATATACTGTCCTTGATATGCAGTTTTGATTTTCAGAGAGAACTTAAAAATTCGACCGCTAGGACAAAATTTGATGCTACTGTCCTCTTAATGTGCATATTACAAAGGGCATATAAATATAAAGCCAGTAGGTTCAGCCATACCCACAATAAGGATAGCCGGACAGAAAGGAATAGAACACAACAATCCAAGACAGACTGCCTCGAAAAATCTGTAGGGTTTTCAAATGGCTAAATTTTATCCCAAGTCCTCCGGTGGCACCTTAACCGACTTGGCCAGCCAGCAAATCTCTATATATTTACTAAATAGTTAAATTTTTCCATAATGTATCATACAGTATTAACTCTGTGCACTAAATATAGCAAATAACCTCATTTTAGCAACATACAATGCATTTTTATTATTATAAATTTTCATTAATTTTTGTAAATCATCCAAAGGTACAGAAAGCGAGTACGATCTCGGGAAAAATTCACTCCTTTTGTTATTTTTCTTGCGTACAGGACGGCCTACAACCCTAATGTGTCGACGATGATACCCGACAGATCAGTCGACCCAGTGACTTAATTGAACAGATTCAAAAGATGCAGAAATCATCTTGACTTTAAAACTAATATAAATTGTGTAATATAAAGAAAAGGCAGAGTTTGACTTCATACACTGCTAGAGGTGAGAGGTCATTGCAGTTGAATGCTATGTTTGTGCTATATTAGAGATTATTAGCCATTATATTACCAAACATATTCACACCTTCCCTTCTATAACTTCCACCAAGTTAGTGTGTACTGAAATAGGAAAAACAGAAACTGTTGCAGATGCGCATGTCTGCCGCAAATGGGTGCGTGAGCTTTCAATATGGCGGAAGACACCGGTACGTGTACTATCGAACGACTGCACGGAATGTAAAATTCATTTATTTAATTCTAAGGGGAGATTAATAAAGTTAATGTAGCTTAAAAGGTAGGGTACCGATTCGTGTTGAAATAGAAGCAGAATTTGTGCTACCATTAAGCATTTTAAATACAGAAATGAAACCTACCCGCAGATAACTCCAAAGATGGTTCCTACACCCAACATTCCGAATGCAAATCTATTTTTATATTTATTCGCAATCGTTCCTCTTAACTGAGGAATAAAAAGTTTTTGTTTCTTCAGCCTTTCGGAATTCATCACGGATCAACATAAACAACGGAACCCACGTCTTCGAACGACCATGCCTCTTTTCCTCGCACTCACTCCCCCTCGTGTTAATAATTGTAAAATATAATTTTTCTAAAGTTAATTCTAATTTAAAATATTTTCTTCAAAAATAAATTTTAATTATTTATATGCGTAATTCTAACATTAAAATATTTCGTCGCTATTTATATATTTTATAAGTTTAAAAAAAATGTTTATATCCGTATTAGTGTTGTAACGAATAGTATATTCGGCCTCAGGCCGAATACCGAATATTCGGCCAAGAGCGTGGCCGAATACCGAATATTCGGCCAAACTATTCGGCTCGATTATCGCACGTACGGAAATTTTCGCGCAAACCGCATTATGCCAACGACCCCGTTCTCTATTGGTCCGCTGTCACTACGCTTCGCCAATCGCGTTAATTCTTGACAGTTGAAGCGGACAGACATGAGCGTCATGGCAGTATGTGATAAGTGATATCAAATGTGGATAACAACGAAATGTCCTACACGTGTAAATAATGGAGAAAGAACAGAGAAGGACCGCGAAGTGAAAATGTGAAAATAAATATGAAATTGAGTTGATAGCATAATCGAACGAGTCGAAGTAGCTTATTGGCGCGAAATTTGCGGCCATCAATGCCAAACAATTGTTGTCATAGACTTCGGAAAGCTAAATGCTTGTAATGAAAGTCACTTAGCGTGCACAGGCGAAAGTCTGGGCCGTTCGGGCTATCAAGCTGTCTCGAATCTGTGAAATCATAACTGTGACTTATATCGACGTCCTATCTGTCTCTTTTCTCCGTTATCACCAGGCTGAGTCACGTAATTGTAAAATGGGAACTCTACGACGGAAAAGTGACGACTCGAAATATCGTGAGCGCGTATTGTGATGTATGCACAGGCATACATGGATTAGAGCGATAGAGGAAAAAGAAAGGGAAGAGCAAAGACGAGCGCTTAAAAAGAAGGATAGGCAAGGTCAGACCCTCAGATGTGCGAGGATTCTCCAACGATAGACGTGTACGTGTGCTGATCTTTGTAATTATAAATTGTGAATACATGTGACTAATACTATTTTCTTTTTTATTTTGTGCATGTTACAAGTTATAAATAAATATATACAAACAACACACTCTATAACATTAACTCTAAATACCAAAATGATTAATTTACTGTGTTTTTGTTGTTTATAACTCCTGTTTTTAGGTATTCGGTATTCGGCCGAATAGTGATTAAATATTCGGTATTCGGCCGAATAGTGAAAAATAGACCGAATAGGCCGAATACCGAATAGTAACCGAATATTCGTTACATCACTAATCCGTATATTTACTCGTCACACGATACATGATCTTTGCTTCTGTAATGATATTTGAAATCATTCTTGGAATACAATTTGTCATGCTTTGCGGTGACCATTAATGTAATTCCGTGTAACTTTAATGTTATACTTATGTCTCATTAATGTTCCCACTACAGTGGGAGACAGAGCCGTACCGGACAGTTTTGGCATCCGAGGCAAACCTCATACCTGACCGCCGATTCAACGTTAATTACAAAAAAGAAAAAAATCTACGGGCTCATTTTGGTATCCCCAAAATTGGCATCAGGTAGCTAGCCCACCTTTGTCCCTTAATTACACCACTGGTGAAAAGTCCCGGGTTTGAATGTCGCCACATAACATATTTTACCGGTTTTTCGCCCTCGAATGACTCAATTAATGGCCTGTCTCGATATAAACTTATAAATTACAGACTCATACTTAAATATAAGTCTAAAAACTAGACTTATTCATCATTAAAGTAGACTATAATTCACAATCATCTTCCAGTATATATTTAAAAAATATCTTACCGACTTGAAACTTTTCGATTCATAATAGCATTGTAACTATGACGAATTACGAATCGACCAATCATTTTCGAAAGATCCGATGTATCGAACCAATCAATGGAACGAATTCTGATAATTTTCAAAATATCCTAACTTTTCGTCGAGTATCTCAACCGAAAAATTTTAAAAAGAAATTTGAAGCGTGTATAAAATTATTAATTAATATTCTGAATTTACATACTTTATACTATTCGCCATTGCACATTCGATTACTTTGTAATAGTAAACAAGTATAACGTTCGTCGTAATCGAATATTTCTTGAATGAGATTGATTAATAACATAAATTAATGGTAAATTAATAAATTAATAAATTTTAAAAACAGAAATTTATGCAGTTATTCCGTTTTTACAGGCTGTAATTTGAAGCTTACGTGTCTTATCAAAACGACCTACTTTAAATAAGATATTTAAAAAAACGTGAGCATTTAAACAGATGTTTAAAAATATTATAAGTTTAAATTACTGTAATATAATTAGGTTCGGGTTTTTAAAGTAAGAGTAACAAATTGTCATTTGGTAAAATTATTATGCTTCAATGCATTCAGCGGGTATTGCAGCGAAGGATTGTCTTCAGGTTATTAAAAAGGTATAAATAATTTCGTTATATTCAATTTTAACATTGGGCTACACAATATTAGGCAGCATTATTGGATGTAAGTTGCACATTTTTCCTTTTTTTTTTTCTTTCTTTTAAGAGATTATTATATAAATCTCAAAGTGTGCTATTGTTGGGTAGATTAAATTCGTTTAGAGAATAATTGGAGAGAATCTGGAACGGCAGTTGCAACATCTGAGCAAATACAGTATGTCTCAGGATAGCATCGGTGTCTGATGCCTCCATGTCTTGCAATACCTCAAATTTTCCAAGAACATTTTTACCCGAATATCCCGATTTGTCTATTTCTACCCGAAATATTCCGATTTGTATTAAAAATATTCAAATAAGAATTAAAGGCAGTAAATAGCTGTAGTCATCGTGCATAAACACATCACCTGTCCTCATAAGCCTTTTGTAATATATTGCACGCGTGTCGTGTTCTGTTGGCCCATTGTAGTGCCGTGCTATGGCTTCAAAATTATCAATGGCTTCGTGCAATCGTGGACGATGGATCAATGATTATGTCTGGTTTTTTTAAAACTCTTTCCGCGCTGTAGGTACTAAAGTGGATCTTTATTTTTATTCATGTCCATTATGAGTTCGGCCATGTCTACAGTGGAAGCAGACCATGTTTTATAACAAAAACTTAGTTGAAGAAAAATAAGTACGATTGGTTTAACAAGTAGTAACACATGTTCCATAATTAATAATTCAATAAAATTAGTTTAGAATTATTCACTTAATTTTCAGAGTACCTACTGCCAATCTAATGCTAGAGATGCCCATTAAATTTTTTTTTCACAATGCTACCTCGCAATGTCCGATTTCTGGTTTTAAACTTATGGCAATCTTATCTATGATTGTATCGCCGCAAAATGTCCTACAAACTATTATATGGTACCATTGTTTCACAGGAAATTGTACCTTTGTTATTGTGATCACTTATTACCATCGCCATTACCTTCACACTTAGTTTCATTCGATTCCAACCCCTCCCTCTCGGTGCATAAATTTTTAATTAGTGAATGTACAGTCGACTCCTCATAACACTGTTGATTATTCCGTTTTATATGAATTCCATGTTGTACGAGTCACTTAGATTTTACAAATACGCGAGCCGTTCACAGCCTGGTACATGTATTTGTAAAATCTAAGTGACTCGTACAACATGGAATTCATATAAAACGGAATAATCAACAGTGTTATAGGGGGTCGACTGTATAAGGCTCTATAAGTGACACGTAATCAATTAAATATGGAAAATATAAAAGAAATGTAAAAATTTTATACATTTTATGTTAAAAAATTCAAAAGTTTATCTCCTTTTTTCTCTCCTGTTTACTATTTTATTGATAAAAAAAAAGTATAGAAATAACAAGTAAGTTTTCACCGCATTACAAGTTGCATAATCATTTAGTACTTCAAAAACAAATAACGTATTAATTTCATGTGACTATAAATTATGTAATATTTTATCTTCTCCTCTGAGAAAATAACATGTGTTCCTCGTTATAAGAACAACTTCTCTTCTTATATTAATTAACAAACGAGTGAACGACCGGACGGCCGTGCGGTTAAGGTAAAATGGATGAAAAACCCCATGAATTTTTCGTGGGGCTTTTCATCGTTCCGTCCCTCGCCACCCGGCCGCCCCATTACCTAGCCGAACCCATAATGGGTTTGTTAAGAAAGCCACCCTATTGACCACAAGGCGGAAAAGGAAGGCCACTTCAGTGACCACCTCACAGAAATTGTATGCCTCGAAGATGCCACATAATTGAGGTTTTACTGTAATAAAATATGCCCTCGACGATAACAGTATAATTTTATTTTAGATTAATTAGGGTATTTTATACACGTATAAAATTACGTGCCGTTTTGATATTCCTTTTTATAACGGAACAAAGAAAAAAAAAAAGATTTTAATTGTTGCGATATCCATTTTTAACACCAGAAAATTTCGGCTTAAATAGGACAAACTGATTTAATCTTCGATTATAATCATACAATTCACTCATCGGCATTGATCGATCAAATTTACGATTTTATCAATTAAACCAAATCCCTCTATTTTTTTGTTGACGGAAGTAAATACTCCACAATGGTACTTTTGATCAACGAAAACATCAACGAAAATAACGCTTATCGCGTTATTATTGTTGTAGTGGGGTTCAAGGATGATACTATCAATGATTTATGTTCGAAAGTGTGATCTAGTGACACGTCACTGCTGTTTTTAGAACCTGAAATCTTCGTTATTTATGGTTTATTATTGAAAATCTTTTTATTCCAACTGTTTAATCAACTGTTAATTATACAATGGTTAACGCTAAAATCGATTAATCAGAAAAATATAAATATAAAAGATTGCCTTGTATCCCTGTCACGTGGCGTCGTAAGTGGGTGCAAGCGTGGTGGAAAAATTCAAAAGTAAGCGGTTAATCTCATTAGCACGCACAAAAGCCTTCTTGTATTCATTTAAAGTTAAAAATTCAACCGTTTTTTTTTTTTCTTGCATCCATAAAAAGCTTTACAATTTTTAACCTTGTTTCGA